ATTTAATCAACTTTATGTTCACAAGGAATAAAAAAGGCTTGGGAAATTGCTATTTATAACTCGTTTTGACCAGGGCTGCAAACCGGTTTCGAACATTTTTGAGTTTAATGGCATCTCTGCGTGTTATAATTTCATCCATATAAAAAATGTGTGAAATGTTTTTGTAAGGAAGAAAATGCACATAACCGCCAGCAAAAAAAATTTAAATCCGGCAAAAAAATGCCAAAAATCAACTTAAACCTTAAAAAATTTTACTAGAAATTCTTATTAAAAAGTTTGCAGCTTAGATAAAACTTTGAAAATTTTTCACAATTTTTTCACAAAGTTTTAAACTTGGATTTAATCAGTTTTAGTTGGACGATAAACTATACTACAAAAAGTAAACCTTAAATAAGCAAAAAAATATAGCCAAAATTGTTAAAATTTCGCGTACCTATTTATTTTTCCACTACTATAAATGTGGATTTTTGAATTCGATCTCAATAACAAAGCCTTTTATTTTTGTATACATAGATTTGTAAGATTTGTATCCTTTACAATAAAAAATTTAGCCATTTGAACCGAACCGAACCGCGGATAGGGAATACCCATGAACCGAACCGCACTGTTTTTTGGAGTGGTTAGCAGCCCTTACATGAGAATGAAACAACTCTTCGAAATCAGTCCAGCAAACACTCCACACTCTAACAATTATTGGAAATTAGTTTTCCCTGAAAGTTGCTTGCAGTTGAATGTAGTTTATTGCTGCTAGCAAATAATATTTTCAACAAGAGCGCAAACTTTTTATTTTGTGTGTGGCAGTTAAATTTCAGAACAATTTATGGTACTAATAAACATTCACAAATCCAAACACAAATATCACAGTTAGTCGTACGTGCGTCGGACCGTAACTGGGTAATTATTTTTCGATTATACAAACAAGCAAAGTTTTTCTCACAAATGCATTTTTTTCCATTTGTTTTGCTTGGAAATAGAGCCAACTAACTTTGATTGTGTGCATTTATGTAAATTTAGTGCAAATAAAATTTGAAAAGGACTTTAATTTGGCAATAGAAAAGCACGTGTGCGCACTCGAGTGGCATTGGATGGGGAACGTATGTATGTACATATAAACCTTTTCCTTAATGGATGCACATGCGGTGGATATTTTTGTAGATTTTTTTTTTGGTAACACATAGAAAAAAACATATTTACGCTAACACATGCATTCGTATGTGGGTGTAGAATGGATACGCATTAAATGGTTTAGTAAAAGTTGACATTGTTTGAACTTCTGGTTTTGCTTTTTTTCGCACAATCTAATGTGATTACTGTGTAATATGCTAATAGTAATAAAACAATTGAAAAACGACTGAATTAAATGGCAGCAGCAATGGCATTAAAACTTTGTGCAAACAATGTTGCAAACTCATTTGCATATTTGCTCACATATACACACACATACATGTAGTATGTATGTACATTAGACTGCATCACTATCATACAAAAAAAGTCGGCACAGTTTTTCCATTCAAATTATAAAATATGTTACAATCAAAGACTTGCACCAAAATAAATCGGAAAAAATATTAAGATTTACTTGAGCTGGATATATTTGAAAATTCCAACAAAAATGTGCAAGAATAAAACTAGTTTTTTTAAAGTATTTTTCGAAAAAAAAAAATCACTTCAGATGACAAAACAGTTTTAACTTAAAAATTTCGCATTAAAAATATTGAAAAAATTTTTTAACGGAATCATAATAATGAGATTTCTGATGCTGTTTTTAAACTTTTTTCAAAGATTTGTTTTTAAGAAAAACGTGAATAACTCAGCCAAAACTTTACCAATTTAGGCTCATGGGATATCATTGGAAAGGTTTTTTTTCTATTTCTTTACAAATAAACTCATGTCATCTGAAGGGATTTTTTTCAAAAAATCTTTTAAAAAACTATTTTTATTCATGAAAAACTAACTTTTAGCAGTAAATCTTAATATTTTTCAAAAATATTATTGTTGAAGTCTTCAAATAAAATATATTTTGTAGTCTCGGCGGAAAAACCGGAACTTTTTTTGGTGATGCAGTCTAATGTACATACATACACATGTGCACCGTTATGCAGGTGTATTTGACAAACTCAATTTATTTACAGTCAGCTATATACATACAAATAAATAATTTAGTAAAATTCAATTACACCTACTCCTTTCGGGTTGAGTACACATGACATATCGAAACTTTTGCAATTCAATTGAATTTATACATATTTATACCTGCATACTTGTGTACATATGTACACACATACATACATACATATGTGCATTTAGAATGTTAAATACTCATATCTATGCTTAAAGGCATTTGACACAAGTTTTTCCCCAGAGTAAATATCCACACATAAATAGTAAGTATGCATGTATGTATCATTATTGGAAACATGCTTTTCGCAGCCAGTGTTTTATGCGTAAATTTGCTTGGAGAATTCGAAATCATATATATACTTTTTTTTGTTTTTTAGAATTCCAACAGTATATTGTTCGGAGCTTGAAAGCTCCCAGACAACTATAGTATCCTTCAAGTAGAAGTACACGCTGCATCCAGAATAGCGGAATCAGCGACCGAACTCACGCGTAAACATATTCATAGGCGGGCTGCTATCAAAGCAATAACGGCTGTGAAGACTAACTCGCTCTCGGTAAAGACCAGCAGTAGAATCCGATTAAAAAATGCCCTAACTCGTTTGAAAATACACTGTACATGAACTGAGATAGGGCGTTTTTGAATCTTTTTGCAGCTGAGATAAGGCGTTCTTCAACCAAATTCTGAGATAGGGTATTTTTTAAATCAAATTCTCAAATAGGGCGTTCTTCAGTGAAATACTGAAGTAGAGCGTTCTCGAAAAGTTTTCTGAGATAGGGCGTTTTCGAACTGTTTACCGAGATAGGTCGATCTTCCACTCAGCTTTCGATATATGATTTATTTGGATATTTTATTAATAGTAAAATTGCTTCATTTTACATATTTGAAGAAAATTATGGATTCTATTGCATCTGCGCTATGGAAATAAATTCACAAAGGTATGCGGAGCATTCGGGTACCGTAACTATGGACGCATCTATGTCAGCTTCTGATTGAATTGTTGAACCATAAGCCTTAGCTCTTCCTATGCCTGGATGCATGAGTCTCAATCCAGTTAATACAATAACAGCTTCTTCCAAGATATTGAATATATGCTATTGAAAATATGCATTTTACGTGTATGTTAAAGTTTTTAGTTTCGGGTCATGCATTTGGACTAGAGATGCTACCTGATAGCTTTTGGATAAATCTAGATATTGAAACCTTTATAGCAATGCACGGCCAGAAGGCCGTATTTTGTTTCTTTAAGAAAATTAATTAAAGCGCGTTTTTTGATATGAATCGATCTTGGGAGATCGTTTTATTTTTCGACGATTTCTTCCTGCACCGATTATTTTTATTTCGATTCGAATCGATTAAAAAATCAACTTATTTTTTTTTTGATCTGGCATCTCTAGTTTGAACACAACAACGCAAAATCATTGTACAAATAACTATACAAACATTCTTATTTGTTCGTTCATATAAAGCATTAGATAAAAGTATACATACATATATGTATGTGAAAGGCAAATTTATCTATTTAAAAGAACACCACTAATATTTCCTCCAAGCACACTTCGATTTACATCCTGTTGCTTACTTTTTATCTCGCTTCCGACACAGATTTTTTGTCGTAAAAAATTACACAAAAAGCTGTAAATTTCTTACGCGCTCGTTTTTAGGCATGCGGTTTTTACAACTTTCGAAAGTTCGAAAATTCGATTCTGATTGCAGCATACCATTTCTACGATTCGTAAGAAAATCCGAATACGAAAGTGTTTCAGTGTAGGGGTGTTAGTCTCAGCAATTATACTGAAGGTGAACTCTAAGTCGGATTCCCCAACATCTCACAAGGTCGCCCAAATAATGCTTTGCCCATATACTCACAAAACAACTAAATACCTGCTATCGCTGCCAAGGACAGACTGCCGAATGTTTGTTGGAATATATGCAAGATACTGCGCACATCACCTCATGCGACCAAACTAAGATAATGGTAAAGTGTGGAATGAAATGTGGACGTTGTAAGTGGCCCTTAGAATACATCCTTTTCCACTGACCAGCTCTTATTAGAAGCGGAAAACGCCGATAAAAGGATTGGGGAACTGTTGAAGTACGTGAAACGGTACATTACTTGTAGACTTCAGGATACTCACCTCTACTAGCAGGCCTTTGCAACATTATGGACTTTCTTAATTATATCTTTATTTGTACCTTTATCTTTACCTGCATGTTTATCTTTACTTTTATATTTATCTTAATATTTATTATATTTATCTTCCGCTTCATATTTATCTTTACTTCTGTCTTTATGTATATTTTTTATTTTTTATTGTTTATTTTTTTATTTTTGAATCTTTATTTTTATGTTTACCTTTATACATATCTTTTTCTTTAGATTTTCTTTTATCTTTGTTTTTGTTTGTATCTTTCTTCACGATCTTCATCATATTCACTTTCATCCTCATATTCTTCTTTATCTTCTTTTATTTATTTCAATCTTCATCTCTTATCCTGAACCCGTTATCTCCACCATGAACTCCACTTTATTTATCTTCATCCTCAGACTTACCTTCATCTTCTCCTTAATAGCAATCTTAATCTTTTCCTGTATTTTTCTTTTGCCTTTGTTTTTATCTCTGTTGTTATCCTTAAATTTATTATGATCTTTGTCTATATACTTGTTTTTGCCTTGTAGACGACATCTTCTTAACCCTCAGCGGCATGACATTTTCTGTCCCACAGAAAATACTCATACTTTTTCTCATTTCGATATACCTTTTAATTAAATTAACCCAAAGGGATTGGAAATCATTTCAGTAAAATAATTTCGAAAATACATATGTACAAGCATACTTTAAATAACAGCCAATTATTTTTGCTTTTATTTCAGATGGATCAACTTCTGAATTTGGAGAGCGAAATTAAAAAACAACAACAAAGCAGAGTAAATGCACTCAGGCATAAATCCAGTTGCAGAACGGAATTGAAAATTTTAATTAAAATGGTGCATACATAGTATTCGTCTAAAATTTGCTAAGCCTCAATCGAATAAATTGTAAAAAACACACACAAATTAAACAATAAAAGTGGGATTAGGAAAGTGCCACTGGCAATCGTATGTGGCGTGAAATCCAATAAAAATTAATAAAACTTGCCACCTTTTGATTTGCAAAATTTTTTATGAAAATCCCAAAACTACTTCATCAGCGCTTTTTCAATAGAACTGCTGCCGTTATAACGACCAACGTTATAGCTCACCAATTTGAAATCATTTTTTTTTTTTCATGGCAGTCCATTTGCTGTTCGCTCGGAATTGAATTTGTTTCAATGAAATTCTAAACAAACAAAAAATACACACGTGTAGAGCATTGTGCTTGTTCTATTTAGAATAGCACGCGAATTTGAATTCGCCATATCGATTATTCTGCTGCTAGTTAACAACTTTGTGCGCATTTCTGCGTATTCGCCGGTTGATGGGCGCTTTTACTTTGGCGGATGTTGGCAAAATGGAGCGTTGTCGAAATTGGTTCTGTGCGCGTAGTAATAATAATGACTATGCCGAGGTAGCTGTAAATGATCCGCTAAAAAATCTAACCAATTCCATTTCGGATACAATACGCGACCATGTACGCGACATGAGTAGTAGTAATGGTGGTACCGCCATAACCGCACAATCAGCAGCCACCGCCACAGGCACAGCCACAGCCACAGGCACAGTCAGCGCCAGCGCCGCAACGGCGGGAACGACAACGTCATCATCAACAACGGCCTCGCATGTGGTAACCTTTTTGGATGATATTGGTGCGAGCGGCAGTAATGGTGCGGTTACGACGAGTAGTCGCGTTGTGAGTCACACAGAGTTGCATACACCGCTAGCCGATGGTAATTTAGATGTTATCGAAGCGGTGGATGATTTTGCCAATGGCACGGGCATCGGTTTGTCGCTATGCGATGATAGTGTACCGTCGTCGAAGAATTGCTATCGTCTCATTATGTTGGGGTAAGTGAAGAGCAGGTTTATAACTAGTATTTATAAATGTAATAATGACTCTGGTGTAAGCAGCAGCTAAGCGAAGGGCAAATTTAAATACGAAAATAGTGCAAACACACATGCATTATATGTATGTATGTATGCTTCAAAATTTATATTGCTTTATTAAGTACGCAAATTTGTATTTCAAGTATCTTAATCTTCAGGAAATCATATTTGACTACTTATTCGACTAAATGCTTTATTTAGTGAGTCCAAATGTGTATGTTGTACATGGCGTATGAGCAATAATAATACGGCGATATCAATCTGCGGCTGTACGTTTAATATAAGTTTTGTTCACACTTTGTTTTCGATAATAAATCAATCTTTATGATATATATATATTACTTATATATAAACGTGAAAGTTTGTGAGTAGCTTACTCTTTCACGCTAGAACGGCTTGACGGATTTAGATAAAATTTTATACACAAATCAGGGAGCGTAACAGTTACAACTTTTATTCTCGCTATTTTACTTTTATTTAATTCCTCCTTAAATAACGGTTATGTAGGATTTTTACTTATAAATCCAAAATAACAATTATTTTAAATTTGTATCTATATAATCTTACTTACTATACTAAACGGCCAATAAGCAACACAATTATCTAAATAATCAGCAAACAACAGTTAGCTTTGATTTTTAAACTAAATGTCTCAGATAACAGATACTGAAGACTTTTGTTTGTAAAAGTCATAAATAAAAATTAGTCGGTGATTTTTACTTTTAAAATTCATCAATATAAATCAGTCACTGACTTTTATTTTTTAAATAATACTTATAAAAGTCATTTGTATAAGTCGTAGTAAACTTTTGTTCCCTAACACCTTTTTATCTGTGAAAAATGATAATCACTTTTATACGTATGACTGAAAAAATAAAAGTCGGCGACTGATTTATATTAAAGACTTTTGAGAGTAAAAGTCACTGACTGATTTTTATTTATGACTTTTATAAATAAAAGTTTTAAATAACTGTTATCTGAGACATATAATATTAAAATCAAAAATCACTTTTATTTGTAGATTACTTAGATAAAAATCACAAATAATTTTTATTTTGGATTTATAAAACAAAAATAAAAAAAATTGTTATTTTTTATTTTGCATAAAAATTATTAATAAAAATTTACTTTCAAATTTGATTCGCGGTGAAAAAAGTAATCGATTGGTATGTATCACTTAGTGTGGAACATCTCCTAAAACTAAATTTTATTACTAAGCTAAATAAATGAAAAGCTATTTAAAAACAATATGCATGACGAAGGAAAGAGGTTTGAAAATGCTTTAATTTTGAGTACATTTTTGGAGAGGGTTACCATCTGTTAAAAAAATATATATATTATTTAATCAAAAAGGCACAACTGAAATGTTACAATTTGGTTAACTAGATAAAGAAGTTTATGAAAGGTTTACCACGAAAATATGTTTAAAGGGCGTTGCCACCGTTTTTAAAAATCAAATTTCATTTTAATCAATAAGTTTAAGGAGTGAGTTTAAAGAAACCGCATGCTACAGAAATCTTACTGAGAAGAATTTCCGCCACTGCTTAAAAATGTGTACAGTCAATTTTCGAAAATAGTCCTTTATAAAAAAATAACAATAATTTAAAATCTATAGGTTTTTCGCTTGTCACGTGCTAACAAACTTTTATGTGTGTTTTCAGACAAATAATAAATTTCGATTTAATGCAGTTATGAAGAACGTCTTCCTTCGCACTTGTTTTGTTGCCAAATAAATTCATATATACAAGTAAATAAAGCAACAACCTAGTATATCTGTAAATAATTACCTCTTCAATAAAATTTTCATTTACAAAGACTTAATTATACGTAATCACCTTTTTCCAACAACTGATTGCCTGATAAGAGCAACAATTAAATATAGCTTCGGGCATGCGCACCATCGCTATTTCATTTCGGGGGTACAAACAAATGTTTACATATATCGCACGCATATTTAAATGCTCCAGTCACGCAAGGCTGCGTTACAAAGTTGTATAAGTAACCATTAAAACAAACATACATAAGCACATAGATATATGTATATAGTATACCCTCTTTAATTGATTTAGCGGGATGTTGATACAAACAATTAACAAAACAAGATTCGCACTTCACCTGCTGCCACCTCCATTCAGAAATCTTTTATACAAATTTATGGTATTCAATTAACTCGCGGGTTAACGTTACAGGAGTACACACACACACACACACAGGCATACATACCCAGTGGGAAAATTTGATGTACAGTAATCGAAAAAATAATGAGTAAAACCCTTTTCACATTCGAAAATTCATTTTTTTCCCCAAGGCGATGTCCTAAGAAAAGTGACGCATTCAATTTTTCATTACCTAGTATCGAGAAATGAATGTGTTTTAATATGAAATTTTTGTAACTTTTTGAATATATTAGAATGCTAATTACATAGTTAGCAGTAATATAATCGAGAACTCAGAAGAAATACATTATACTATTTATCACGCATGTAATGCGTTACTACTTTTCCGACTGGGTACTTTTGCATTAGAAGAAATGCTAGTGTAAGTTAAATGTAAATGTAATTAAATACGTTATTATACGTCATGATTTCTGTCTGCCCAAAATTAATGAATAATTAGCGATATATATCTGTCTGTCGTCAGAATGTTGCGCAGCAAAATTCACGTATTCCAGTAACACGGAAAGCAGTTTATTCTATTTCTGAAGCAAATTTTTAACATTTCATTGTATAAATGCACAGCATTTGCTTGCCACAAATAAACCGCATTTCAGGCAAAGTATTTCTATAGTCCAATAAAAGTAGCTCGTGTTCTATTCGGCTGTTTTAAGTTTTGACAAATTTGTATGCCGTTTGTTCTATCAGAAAATTCAACACATTTTCGGTCCTTTATTTTGGCTGTGTAAAAAATAAAAATGTCAACCCCTAATAAGGAACTTTTCACTTCATTCACTCTTCTCGTTCACGTCCGTATAGCATTTTTCGTACTCGGACGAATTTCCTAACGTCAAAACCGCCAACTAAAATATGGCGAAATATTTCTGTCCCAAATGTTTTGTTCATCCAGCATCCTATTTCAGAGTTTCAATGAAAAACTCCCTATCTCAGAATTCGGTTCAAAGCCGCCCTATCCCAAATGAAAATTTATTGAAAATGTGCTGAGATAGGTCTTTTTTGAACCGTATTTGAAACCGAGATAGGGCGTTCTTCAACCAAACTATGAAACAGGGCGTTTTTGAAAAGTTTTCTGAGATAGGGCATTTTCGAACTGGCGCCGCGATTGATCGATCTTCCACATATGGAAATACAAAAATGTCAAAGCAACATTTTATTTCAAAATACTTACCTACATACATATGCATTTTTGAAATTTTTCCTTGAAGAGCTTAAGCATGGCTATGCTCTGATTAAAATTCTTAGATTTTGTTAACTTCAGTGGCTTCCTGGCAGCATAAGAGCTATTTATTTTATAGGGGAATAGGAATATCGGCTTAAATCTTTTTAATGGGCAAATTACCTTTACAAAAATGCCAAATATGTTTATATTGCAGACAACGGATGGGCCGAAAACTCGATCAGATTTTAGCGGTACGCATATTTAGCCGATGCTACTTAGGCAGATTTTTTAGCTGCATAAAAAAACGTAAATATAAAATTCACTGGTTCCCCTCAAGGTCGTTTTTCCCGGAGACTAATTTTTCATATTTTCGCCGCTTTTAATTTCCCTTGTTACAAATGTACATACATACATGGACTAAAAAATTCTGGCCAGGATATTTTTAATTAAATAATCTAAAATTATAATTTTTTTTTAAATTTTGCATTCATATTTGTTTAATGAACAAATTTCATATATACTAATCGAAATCATAGATAAAGCCTAAATAATGTGTTAAACATATGAGAGAAAATTACTGTTATTACTTACCTGTTCATACCTGCCAACCCGATAGGTAGGCCAAGAAAATAATAGATAACCCAACGTTTTCACATTCCATAATACTTTCGATTGGTATATAATTTGTTTGAGTGCAAACTTAAAAAAAAAAATAAATTTATTAATATTTAATTAAAAATATTTTGGTCAGGATTTTTTCAGCCAACCTACTTGCGAAATATTTATTAACACGTTAAATTTCATACAAAATATATTGAATCAATTAAACAGATGGGAGAAGTTCGTGCCCTTGTCGGATCTTAGACTGTATGTTGTTTGCTGCTGTGAGACCATATGCTATGCACCAAAGTTTCCATCAAAATATAAAAATAAATTTTGATGGTTATAGGGTGAGCGTATTGCTAATAAATATTAAAAATTGCTAACTAAATATTTATAAAACCGAAAATTTCAAATACCAAGTCGAAAGTGAAAGTGCTCTTAACTTGTTGAGCGTCTTAAAGTGCGCCTCAAAAGCAGCACTTCAATCCAAAGAAAACTGAAATGTTTAACACAAATAAACAAAAATAAACTCGTTAACAATGAAATGAAGAATACAATGAAATTCATTGCCGCACTCGACGCACGTGCCTTTTCACACGCGAACTAATCAGTAGCTACTAAACAAGCAACTACTGCTATAAAGCCATATGAATATACATATATATAAAGGTATCTTTATGCATACATATAAAACAGAGTTTACAGTAAAAAGGCGAAAAAGGAAAACATAAATAAAGCAAAGAGGATTTGAAAAGGGCAATGTATACAGAAGCAGTAGCAAATGTATACGTATATATGTATGTGTATGTTTTTAAGTCGTATTCTTATGTGTTCACTACCCTATGCATACATACAGTGGCGGTCAAAAATGGATGAGTGTGGTTTCGTTTTTAATATTTACAATGTTTTTCAGGCAAACATTTTTTTTATATTTTTTTTATAAAAATATGGTTCGTGCTTTAACAAAAACTATATAAATCACACTTTCCAATTTTGTGCAGAAAAAAATCTACAAATTTTTATCTAAATTTCGAGCTTTTAACAAGAATTTTTAGAAATTTTTTGGGTATGCAGTTAACAAGTTTATAAAATTCTGGTGAAATAAGTGCAACTTTTCAGCGGCTAAAAAATCGCAAAAAATTTCTAAAAATTCTGGTAAAAAAGCTCGTAATTTAGATAAAAATTTGTGGAGTTTTTTTAAGTTCTGTGTACAGTTTGTTAAAGCATGAAACATATTTTTATAAAAAAATATCAAAAAAATTTTAGCTTGAAAAGCATTGTAAGTATTAAAAACGAAACACCGTTCCTCCATTTTTGACCGCCACTGTATATGTATATGTATGTGGGTATAGGTTCAGGTGTGTTGCCGCGCAAACACATAAATGTGAACAGTCACAATCATTTCGCTTATCTGGCTCTTAATTAATTAAATTACAAAAAGTTGCCTGCCAGTGAAATGCCCGCAAATGATGAGCAAACGCTGTCGAATCCGAATTTATTTAATTACTCATACGCCCCAACCAACCACTTTACCGCTTTTGTCTTTCCGTTTATTTTATTTTTTTCGGATGCCTTCGCTTATCAGCTCATCACGTGTGGGTAAATCATCGATTGTGGCACGATTTTTGGGTAATCGCTACGAGGAGGCATACACCCCAACCATCGAAGATTTCCACCGAAAACTCTATCGCATACGGAATGATGTCTATCAGTTGGATATATTGGACACGTCGGGCCATCATCCATTTCCAGCGATGCGGCGTTTATCCTTCATGACAGGTGAGTAGTGAGTAGTTAAAAATAGCACATACATACATATGCATCTATGACATGTCATAAACAGTTAATTACGAGTAAATCATTTTGAGTTTATTTCTTATTTTGCGCTCATTTCTCTTAATTGAAAGTAAGCCAAAAGTTTACATGAAAATCTAAGCAAAGATCTTTCAAATCAAAAATCATTACAAATCAACTTTACTGCAAACACAAAAGAAGAAACAAAAAAAAAAAAAAACAAAAAAAATTTGTCCAAGAAATTAGTGCGTCGCCTCTGGCAAACGACCACCCAATGACAAACAGCCCACAAATGGTAGCAAAAGCATTTCATTGTGGCAGCTTGAGTTACAATGTCTCTGGCTTTGGGACATGAATAGTTTTGTTGAGCCATGTAAATCACAGCACAGGCGGCCAACTAGAACAATAAAGCAATAAATGGTAGAATGCCAAAGCAGGCAAACGAGGAGCGTGCAGCAATAAAAACCATATCCCGGGATGGTGAGGATAAATGTTGGTCGTCTGTTGTTGGCAACAGGCATACAACGATTTTGTAATATTTATTCTACTGTTAGTCCAGGGAAAATATATACATACACATATACATACATATGTATGTGTGTACGTAAGGGAAGGAAATACCGCAGTGAATTTCGTCTATGCGAGGCAAAATTGTATGCTTGACTGCAGAAGTGGTGCTTCTGTGCGCGTAAAGACATCGACAGTTAGCACACTTACCAAGCTTTGATTTATATAATTCCAGAAAATAGCCGTCAGAGCAGAAGACAATTTTTGTTTTAGTTGAGTGGCTGCTGCACTGCGTGACTATAATTACTATCGTAACTAGCTGGCATCTTTAGTGCGAAGTAGCGCCTAGTAGTGTGTTGCTTCTGGTAAAATATAGGTATGAAATTCAGTGGATAAAATTTTTTTAGGAGGAAAGATAGTTTATTTTCATTAGTAAATCGGTGGGTATTGGTAAATATCGATAGTGCACTTTTGTCATAAGAAAGTTTCAAATGGCTTGGAATTGTTCGAATTTTCAGTTGTGCCACAAAGTAATAAAAATTATATAAAGTTGTGCTGATAAGAAAGCTTATCGTGACTATTTTGAATTATTTAGATACATTCATATAGACATAAAATCGGACTTTATTTTAGTTAAGGGAAGGATACAAATGTGGGTTGAAGATAATGGGCTATTGTGCTACACTAAGGCGATTTATATGGTACACCTAGCCGTGTCCAATTAATAAGACTATGAGATTATGAATCAGCAATAGGCCAAAATCATGTATTTCCTGTCAGTAGCACAAAACTTATGGCGTTTTCGTTTCTACAAAAAATGTTGCCTTTTCATTGCCCGGTTCTTAATGTTTGTGCTGAGAGGGCAATAAAAAGGTAACATTTTTCGGTAGAAACGAAAACGCCATTATATTCATGAGGAGAAAAATTTTGCAAAATTATGAATTTTTTTAACCTACATATGTACTTTCAGATTTCTCTAAATTGGTACATGTTTTCGTGAATCGTCAAATCTTGTGATTCCATATAACTTCTTGGTCGAAATTAGAATCGGACTATCTGAATGCGCTGTATGGATCTGTGTATCTCATAAACCTCCAAAATTTTAGGGCAGTGACAGCTGGTATTTCTATCTATTTTCAGGCTTCACTATGAAAATTGCTGACGATTTCCAGAAAGTTCCAAGTTAAACACAAAAAAGTATGAAAATTTCCGAAAGGTCGCAAAATAATAATTGCATAACGAACAAATAACCAGAGCTGGAGCATAATGATTCTTTTAGGAATTAAATTACTCTCAATTACCAATTACAAGCAATGTGAAATATTAATCAATTCCTTCAGTACACAGCAAATTGATTTATAAAACTCATAGGAGGTAGGATCACGAGTCCGACGGGGCTCGTAATTCAAGAAGACTCTATCCCCATTTGTAACGCAAGATATGAGTAAGGACAGCCCAAAGGCACCAGCAGGGACACCATTTTGTGTACCATCAAGGGTACCATAATATACACCATTAAATTTCTGCAATAATGGCATCCGATGAGTTTTTTCGTCTGTATTTTTAAATTAGAATAAGTTAAAATACAAGTACTTATTACCTCATTTCAAATGGAATTTGATGACAGCGCTCTGTTCATTGGATTTGGTGGATAGCTGCTTGTTGTAAATAATGTATCTGAAATTTTTTGATTTTAGCATTTTTAAACAGAAACATCGTAGTTACTATAATGTTTCTCAAAAAAGCCTTATTTGATTGCAAGATACTTAAAAAAATGATTGTTGACAAGGGTATATTTTTGATAAAGTGTACACAAAAATAGGAAAGCAGCTATAAAGATTTTATCTGAGAATACCGCTGGTGAAATTTTTCGGCGAATAATTTCCTAAAACATTTTAACACTCTACCGATCTCCTGAACGACATTTTATTTCGACTTTCAAAAAGAATGGTCAAAATGAGAGAGCTAATGGGTTAAAATGAGAGAGTTAATGGGTTAAAATGTTGTACAAAATTATTCCTCGTGAAATTTTACTACACATACCCGGACTACATATTTCGCTCCATATATATGTTAACCCTTTTTCCCCTCATTCTAGAAACACTCAAGCAAAAAATTGCAAACTTAAATGGCCATTTTACCTTAGAAGGCAAAAATATTTGAAGGCTTTACTATATTTATCTACGTCTTTCTTCTTGAGTTGGAATCGTTCCGCCCACAAAAATGCTGTTGCACTATGTTATAGACAAGCTTGAGGTTTTAATTTGGAAAACCAAGTTGGTGCACTCAGCGAGTACATGCAGGCATCTGGAGTAGCACTCAATTCCAAGCCATTGCCGTTTAAAAAGATTTGAAGATGGGCCACTTTGTAGGCGTTTGGTCTATGACCTACCGCACAGACAAAGCATAAAAAGTATATTTTAAGAAGATTCTATTATGTTGCCCGTATTAGTTTCGGCCATATTTTACGAGCTACTAAGCCCGTCAAACCCGTATATATTTACATATATTTATATGTATGTAGATGTGTAATATACCCTACAAGACAGCTGAGTATCATATGAGTACTCATATTATCATTACTCCTAATCACAAAAGTGCTTATCAAAGTCATCATTTTCGTTCAGGCCATGGGAAAAATTTGAGTACTTTCCCCTCAATGTTGTCATCAGAAAGTCCTCAGTACTAATAGTCAAACTACTCATTTATGCCGTACTACAAAAACAAAAGTGTAAATGTGTGAGAATTTTTGCCTAAAGTGCTCAGCAATGTCTTGTAGGGTATATGTGCTATATTATACATATATACCCACATACATATACATGTGTCTACGTAACAGTGGAAAAGGTAGACAAGTGCTTACGCTAGTTGTGCACAGGCGGTCATTGACGGTAAATCGCCAACTGACATTTGGCATGCCTACCGGTTCCGATAGCAATAATCTGAGTGCTTGTGTGCACACAGCGCAAACACCAGCAGGCAAAAGCAAGGAGCAACATGGAGCTTGGCAGGAAACACAATTGAGCTAAGGAGATTTGTGCTTAGATTCACGCAGTGCCACCGTAAGCCGTAGAATAAAAATGCACATTTATGTAAGCTGACGACGATTCGTATGTACGTTTGTGTTTTGAACTATGAGTAGTATCAATTTGTTCGTACGCTATATAAAAATGCTGCCATGTATGTAAGTACATGTGCGTAGGACGAAAGTCTTCTACTTGCGTGCATACGTACTTACATTTATAATAGCATTGATATGCGATACGAATTATCTATGAATTCCTACATTATTCGGCATTTAGTCTAAGTGCAATTTAATTTATTTTGTTTCTGTTGAAATCTTCTTGATTTGACGCGTTACTTTTAAGGCAATACAGTGAAACACAAAAATGTGCAGGTGAAAAAAGGAAGCAAATTAATTAACTTATAGGAATCAGTTACCAAAAACAAAATGCTGATTTTTTACTGAAAATAGCTTTGTAAAGCCCTCAAGTGCAAAACTCTCTTTTTTATAGTAGTTAGTTTAACTGGTTTAAAAAGCTTTTTCTCTAACAACTTTCATTAAGTATTTTACATACAGAAGCATGCTTGTGGCTGCTTAGGACTCTTCTAAATATGTAGCTTAGGCCATCTAAAACAAGGTTTTTAATAGGATTTTCTATCGTTCAAAACCCGGGTTTCGATTTATTCGAAATATGGCAATTTGAAAAAAAAACTGTCCCCTATTTTCAAATTAAGAAAAACTCGAATAAACCGGTTTTATTTTACATATGACCAAACTTAAAATGTGACTGTTAAAAATAGGTGTAGCTTTAATTTAGAAACCAATAAATCTAAGTAACTTAGAAGTATTTTGGATTACAAGTAAAATAGAAAAAAAATTGTGAAAAATTCACACTTAATGGGATTCACCGATCTTGAAAAGATTAGATCGCTAAAGCAACAGCCTTTTTTGTCGGGAAACACTCGAGCATAAGGAATCGAATGTCTTGGAAATGAGAAAACACCATTCCCTGAACCATACCGGCCAATTAAGATAGACTATTATAGACAGGAAAACAATCAACACCTTCGACAAATCTCAACACTTGAATTCCATCATCGGAGACCAACGCTACCTATCGCAGGCGAAAAACTCGAGTTGCTGCGTGAGGCTCGCGAACCTTTGACACAACTCCATTCTGGATATTGTAGTACTAACTTATATTACCATAGCAACTCACATTAGCTCATCTAACACCTCTCTGCCTACGACCCAAACCCGTCCGATCTGTATTCTCTCTCAGCCTGCCGTTAGATGAGAAAGAAGACAATACGTAGTCGATTCACTGAATTGGGCAAAGTTTATTCCTTAAGTAATTTTTTTGCGTGGTTATTGTCCGATTTTGCCCATATTCAATACCATCCGTCCTACGCCCGAAAGAAGTACATATACCAAAATTTCGTTAAGATATCTTGATTTTTACTCCAGCTATCGTGTGCACAGACGGACGGACGGACAGACGAACGGACGGACGGACAGACAGTCACCGCTTAATCGATTTCTCTTTTCATTCTGATCATTTATGTATACATTTGTCTATATCTATCCCGATTCGGTTTGCCTGTTACAAACGACCGTTATGTGAAAAAAGTTATAATACCCTTGTGCACAAGTGCGCTCGGGTATAAAAATATCAAAAATACATAAACTCAAAGCTTCAAATATATACACCATCAAGCCTAGTGTAATCAGGAGAATATGCCAAAGCATCTATGTCCTCCATAAAAGTGCTCTTATCTTTCTGATTGTTTATTTTGACAGTTTTCCTACTTTTGCGGTTACTTGTCAATTGAAGTTTCATTTCCATTGTTCACTTCACATTGCGATTTTCTTACGATACAGTCCATGTATGTATGTACGTATGTACATATGTTTGCACATCAGGCCATATTTATGTGTCTATTATAGGGCCGTATCGACTGCCATTTGGTACAAATATCGTTAAAATACTGTACGTGCGATGTGCACATTTCACAAATTGCTGTATATGAATTCCTTAATTTGCATATGCGTGCATACTTGTGTGCATAGATATGTATGTAGAAAACTCAAAATTCGTAATGGGAGAGAGAGAATAGGTATGCAGTGTAACTTTTGCGTTAACTTATGTACATACGTATATATGTAGAAATGTATGTACACGCAAATAAACTATGTAGTGTGTTTTTAAAATTTTTACAAATGAAAGCATACTAGTATAATCGAAACTTGCTAGCAGCTACACTGGTGGAAAAATTGTATAATCAAATGAAAACGTATTCAAAAGTGCTGTATAATGGAAATATTCAATTCAAGTTTACGTGAAGTGCAAAATGCTTCATTTTAGTATTGGCGTATTTCAATTGAATATTATTATTATTGAACATAGTACTTTTGAACACGTTTTCATTTGATTTAAATACGTTTTTATTTGATTTAAAAAAATTTTTCCCCCTCAGTGTGTAGTCAGATGTGAGCATTCAAATACGTGCGTGCTAAATTTTGGTATGATATGCATTTTAAATACGAAAATTTTTAAACGACAATCAAATAACAAATATTAATTTTTACTATGCGCTTATTCGCTCAGTGTACACACACAATTTTTTTTTTTTGTATTCTAGTGAGACGCACGTTTCGTAGTGGGTGGATATGTATGCATGCACGAGCATATGTTTGCTTTGGAAATTTGATAGATTAAATTTTGAGATTTGATAAGGGTATTAGGACGCATGAAAAGAGCGATAAACTTGGCTGCAGCTGCTCATAAATTAATTTTTATATATTTTTAATTTATTATTGATACTAATGTACCGAAAAAGAGAAGGTTAGTGTAGAAGTACTTAAAACTATTTATTAAACACTTAACAAAATACTATTTATTAAAACGTTAAGGACTTAAATGAAATTGATTTGAGTAGCGGCAAGTTTTTATAATCTTATATCGATTTTTTTTTTTGTTCAATTTCAGGCGATATTTTCATCCTAGTCTTTAGCATGGATTCACGTGAGTCCTTCGAAGAAGTAGTGCGATTACGTGAAAATATACTCGAAACTAAATGGACAGCGCTTAATCCTGGATCGGGAATGAAGAAGAAAAGTTTGCCAAAAATACCAATGGTTATAGCTGGAAATAAATGTGATCGTGAACCCAAGTAAGATTAAGTGGCGGCTTTGAAGGATCTTTTACTTTTTTTTAATTTTGTTTTTATTTCATCCTGTCCATGCTTCTCATCAACAGAAAAGTTCAACTCGACGAGGTGATGGGCTATATTGCCGGCCAGGATAATTGTTGCGTCTTCGTCGAATGTTCGGCGCGACAAAATTTCCGCATCGATGATCTCTTCTATGCTTTGTTTATGGTTTCGAGTTTACCATTGGAAATGGCACCGAATCATCATCGACGCGTAGTGTCCGTATTCGGAGCGCCATCGCCATTGCCACCACACACGACTGCGGGTGGATCGAAAAAGAATGCACTCTCTATAAAGCGACGTTTCAGTGATGCCTGCGGAGTGGTAGCACCGAATGCGCGTCGACCCAGCATACGTACCGATCTAAATTTGATGCGTTCGAAGACGATGGCCATGAATGAGGGTGATGGAGCGGGTGTGGCGCGTAGAAATTACTGCGTATTAATGTAAATGGCGATAGTAGTTATATGTACATACATACATACATATGTATGTATATTTGAGCGATGATTTCAGTATGTGATACAAATCGTAGAGCGTTCTAGTTAAACCCAAGCACATATTTAAGTATACATACATATATATACAATACTAATACATACAGTGACGAGCAAATCTGTTACATGGAGTAACACTTTTTATTTCAGCTGTCGCTATCTTTCCAAGTTCTAACGACATTCATACTGTTGTTGTATATTTTTATTGGTACATCTTTGCTTCCTCTGTCATAACGATTTGAAGTCAATTTAACAACATTAACAAAACCAGCAGACAAAAATGTAAATTAAGGCAAATGTTACAGTTTTGCACTCATATATTTTTAATAACATTTTGACAATTTTCACAAAAAAAAAAATTATTAACAGAATGTTCAGTATGCTTTTGCTTTATTTAGTTCCTGGTTGCAATTTGGCATACCTAATGTGTATGTCTGTAAAAATTCTGGAGGTATAGCCTCCCATATATCCTTGGTGTGCTTTCACAGCTCATGTACTCCATTGGACGGACTTGGATACTTAGTAAGATGCGCTTTTAGTTGATTTCGCAAATTCTCGATGAGATTCAGGTCCTCGGATTGTGGAGGTCATTTCAAATTAGCAAATTTATGCTTTTGTTCCAGTCTTTGCGAACATGTGCAGTGTGTTTTGGTTGCTTTTTCAGCAGAAACTCTAATTTTTTCGACTACATCTTGCAAATTTTGTTGAAATTTGAACAGATACTGTTCCTTAGGCATAATGCGTACAAACGGATCAACAACATTTTTGAAATACAACCCCAAACTAATATTGACCGACCACCGTGATTCACAGTTTGCCTTACATGATGCGCTTAGGCTTAATTTGGGCCTTTGATCCAATACCATGCCCGGCCATTTGATTGAAAGCGATTAATTTAGTCTTGTCAGACCAAATAACCCTCAATTAAATCTTAAAAATGTGTTTTTTATTGCATTCTGTAAGGCCTAACATATCCCAATAGGCAACGGTCCGGTTTTCGTGCGATGCAGCAAAACGCTGCCACACTCGCACATGTATTTTGATCAAATTTGCTTTTTTCTTCTTTTATGATCCATTTTGCTCAATTTGGCAATTTTTCGCCTCACTATCTACTGATTTGCATTCAATTTTAATACCTTAAGCGCTTCTGTAGTAGTGCCTGCAGCGCTACTTGCTACTAAGTTCACAAGATATCGGACTGTAATATATTTTGACAGACTTTCTTTGTCCTTAGTAACACTTTAGGCTATATTTTTTCTCAGTCTTAACATTTTCATGTGGCAAACTCCACAATTTTTTGCCACTTTCCCTGCGGTCCCGCCTTTCCGCAGTAAACCTATTATTTACATTTATGCTTCCTGATTAACCATATTATTTATTGGTGATCACTTCTTGAATAAATTACAATACAAAAAAAAGTCATCTGACTTCCAACTTAGCAAACGATAACTGTAAAATGCAAAACTGAGAGTGAGTGCAAAACTGTAACATTTGCCTTAACTTACATTTTTGTCTCCAGGTTTTTTTATTGTTGTTGGATTGACCTCAAATCGTTATGAGAGCGGGAGTAGGGGTGTACCAATAAGAATATACAACAAAACTATGAAAGTCCTCAGAACTATGAAAGATAGCGGTGGCTGAAATAAAAAGTGTTACATCATGTTACAGTTTTGCTCGTCACTGTATATAAATGAATACATATTTAGATGTAAGCCAACATATTAATAGATATTTATAAATTAATACTTGTACATACATAAAATGTATGTACATACATACACACACATTTGTTTAGACTAAGATGTTTGGATATTTCAATAGTGGTGAATCATCACTTGTAAGGTTTTCAAAATTAGCGAAGAAGTTTTTGAAAGTATTTAATGCTTTCCTAGAATATTTACAAACTAACTATTTCTCAAACCAACTACCAATACATATAAAAATAATATCAAAAACTATTTAATATCTTAGCTTAAATCAAAATAACCAAATAACTAACTATTTTAATCAGACACCGAAAATAACCGTCAAATATCAAGATTGGTATGTTTAGAACAAAGCAAAATCGTTAATTTTTAGCTTTTTATTTTTCTGTTCAAGAATAATCGTTAAATTCCGATCTTTATTTTTTCGGAAAAATGTAATCCTTTTTTTGTGATTTTTATTTCTTCGTTCAAAAATAATCGTTATTTTGGATTTCTTTTCGACCATTTTTCAATTCAAATACAGTTTATTATCGTACAAGAACCGTATAAACGCAAATTTCAAAATTTGTAAAAATTTTTTAAAATATAACGCAATTTTTTTATATGGTAAAAAAATTGTCAAAGAACAACGGTAATTTGTAGTTACTTCAAACTTGAAGATTATTTTTCAGTACGCTACGGAACTGCACACTAAAAAAAACTCAAAAACTTAAAAAAAAATTAAAATTTTTTATAATTTTTGTTTTTACCTTACTACAAAGTCTGAAACTTATATTTGTGTATGTATATGGCTTTAAATTCAATAACAATGGAAGTTACTAAAAGAAAAATTATGCAGAAAAAAACGAAAAAGCATTACCCCTATTCAAGTGCACCGATTATTCTTAATCGAAAAACGGTTAAATTTGATCGGAAAAATTAAAATCCATTTTGAACGGTTGAATTAAGATTTTTATTATAAAGATCGTAACCGTTATGGTGCCTGATATAAATAAAGACTTCTGCCAATTTTTGCCATTCTTTTAGATATGTATATTTTCTCTTATTCATACATACATACATATCTCTATTAACATAATCGGACCATTATCTCTTGTAATCTCTTGAAAAGTCACTCTTAGTGAATAATTTAGTGTAGATAATGATGGGCGTAAAAATCAAAAATTCTTAAGATTTTTTGTAAAGTATATTTTATTAGAAATCTTACTCTTTTTATAATATCAACTGAGTTGTACCGAGCCCTACAAAGGAATTCAAATTGCATGAAGTTTATTATAAACTTATTGAAAAGTTAAAATACAAATTTGATAATTCTCTTAATTGCATACAAAATTTTAAAATGCGACTTCGTCTTTTCACCAAAATCGTAACTTCTTAATTATTTTTTATTTATATTAAACAATTATTGTTGTTGAACTTAAGCCCGTTTTCTATGATAAATTATTGCGGAAAAAAGAACAAAAGTTTTATAAATGTTAGAAGTTATAGCTGCTATTTCGGAGATCACCACATCTCCTCATCATCGAGTTTTTTATTTATGCAAACAATAGTATATCGATCAATTGTTTCAGTGATGATTTCACTTTAGTTTTTTCTACAAAACCTCTATGATTGTTAAGCATACAAAAACCTAAATTAAGCAAACTAAATAGAAAATATTAAGAGATATTATTTATTTTACAATATTTTGAGGTAAATGAGCTATATGACTGAGAAAAATCATTAAATTTTCTGTTAGAATTTAGTTTTTGTATAGGAAAAAGCCCGAATCAACTGTTGATAAACATAATTTATCAAACTAACAAAAGTAAACTGAAAAGGACGTTCACAGTTGATAAAATTATCGAGTAACAACCAGCAGTTTATCAAAACTAACGAAATGGATGTGAAGACCCCTAAACATTTCACTTATTGCATACATTTTTTGAACTGAAAATTGATTATGAAATGCATAGAAGGAAACTTACAATGCAACTTTGGAATTTAGTCCCCCTCCCAGCCCGTACCTGCGTGCGCCCATGCTTAGGTCGAAAATCTATGAAAATATTTCCCAAATCGTAATGATTTTAAATCGTACGAACTTCAGGACATGCATGAGTAGCTCGTATTGCTCCCTCCAATATCAGCTTGAAGAAGTCATACGAGAGTCATACGTCGCTAGGTCTGAAATCTACTCTAGTCTGAAACTGCTCGGTTAGGTTCTTCTCTATTGCCACCAATCGGAAGGTTGTGCTCAACGTCTGTTCCCCGTTCTAGCATGGTCCTGTATACAGTGTGATTCTCCTTTGCACTAATGCGGCATTTCTCGTTGAAATTATTTTTGGGGCTAGCTGAGTAGCCAATTACTTTTTCAGTGGTGCCACGCAAGAAGCAAGTAAATGTGATTCCATGTGTCGCTATGTGCTCGGAGTGCAAGAATAAGAATTTAGTGGCGAATCAGTAGCCTATCCGTTGCATTCGCAGCTTTTTAGTGACAAGCTTTCTATAGCGGTGTGTACGGGTTTCATCTGCATGAAGTATGTATGTGCTTAGGTGCTTGATATCTCTTTTAGACCGAGCCGTCCAGTCGGCAGCAAACCCTCGCCACACGAACAAAGTAAAAAGATAAGTTTGGTTTCCGAACTTGGTAGCAAAAATTGGTATTTTAGCTTAGCTTCTTCGCCATATAATTTACACGTAAATTATTAATTTAAAACTCATCGAAACTTCTTTTATGACGCATGTCTCAGTTAAACTTGCATTAATTATAAACGCAGAATACATGAAAAGATGTTCTTGGAGAAAAAAGTTATGCTAAATAAGGCGAATCATTCACAGTGTGTGATAACAGTCCTACTTTCCAAATGACATAAATTTTATAACGGTTAAAAAGACTCATTATTACTACTCGTGAGCCCCTGAATGTAATAACAGTACTTACATATACATATATCATTTTAAAACAAGCACACCGTATATCTATATCTCCAAAACCACTATAATTTTTTGTACTACCTTAACAAAAGAAATTTCTATAACAGCATATTGACAAAAAAAGGAACCAATTCCATATCTACACAAACCCACCAAAAAATTTACATACAAATATATACCTAAATATACCGATAATCTCAAATTAAATATTAAATTCCTCTCAGTTCTAAATGTGGTTTCACACCAAACAAAAAATACAAAGATCTTTAACAAATTATACAAAATAATCACTTAAACTATGCACACACAAAAATATGATTAATACTTACCTACCGATATACATACATTAATACATACTACATACATATGGAAAATGGCTATATAATAACATTTGTCAAATAACTCAATGAATGGCTTTAAACATATTCAAATACATACATACATACTCACAAAACGTATGCAACAATATTATCCATATATATAAAATAACATGAAATGCGAAATGCGTTTAAGAGATTAAATGAAAATTTGTTAAATTATTCAAATTCAAAGTGATCAATAAGTTTAAGCTCGAATTTTATAATTAATAAGTTATTATGTACTTACTTAGATTTAATTAACATATGTACATACATACATGCGAAGTATGTATTTGTATGTATGCATGTGTTAAGCTTATAACAAATATGATATGGCTTTAATAGCTACTAATTCAATGATTCATAAACAGTATACAAAGAAATATATTTAGATATACACACGTATGTACATTAGATCGTACCACCTTAGAAGAAACAAAAAAAAAGTTCTCCGTACGCCCTTAGTCTAACGCACTTTTGCAAGGAATTTTCGAAAATTTTAATTTTTTGCCAAACCCAGTGTCGCCTATTTAAAATGGTTTGTTCGATAAAAAAATCAATTTCATCCGATAAATGAAAAATAAAAAAAAACGGTGAAGCCCGGTTTCGAATAAAACCGAGTCAATCACCCTAGTAAATACTAGAACAGGGTGAGGTCAATGAATTGTTGAACAGAAAAATTGTTTACTCGAGTATCGAGATAAAAACATCGATATATCGAACTTTAAGAATCGACTACGGTTGCCGAAGACATGATGAAAAATTAAGAAATGCGCTCTTTTACGTACGAAAAAAAAACAGAAATTATCTTCGACTCGAAAGACTTCCTTAGCAAAACTTTTATGAATTTCGGCGAGCTTTAATTTACTGCCATTAAGGTGGCATATTAGAGTGCTAGCTACTAAGATCAATTGGGTAAATACTAGAACGGAGTCAATGAACTTTGGCACAAAAAAAAATGTCTCCTCGCGACAAGAAATGGAATTATCATCCTTTAAGATCCGACTCCAAATGCCAAAGATATAGCAATGTTTGGCCAAAAAGAAAATTTTTTTCGAAATTGCTTTGCAAAAATACTTCACTTGACACAGAGATGTAAGGCGATTTTTTTTCTGGCGCGATCTAATGTACATACATGTATATGCATATAAGCTCGCGTGAACATTCCAACATGCAAAGTGCAAAACTCGCATTGCTGCATTCAAATAATACTTATATTATGTAATTGCCTAATTAATATGATGATTCAATAAAGTTTTGTATTTTATCATTCAAAAATCTGTCATAATTGTATGCCAGCCTAGTTATAGACTTTTGTAATGTAAATAAATACACAAAATGCGTTAAATATTTTTTTTAAGATTTATTACCATTTTTAGTCTTTAAACCTTATTGTTAAACGTTGAAATTTTGAATTCAAATAAATGACCAACAAACAGTTATATTAATAGGTGTGTTTGGTGCTTTAAAGTTGTCCTGTTGCAGTAAGTTATAGACTATCTACTACTTGAGGTCGAAATATATTCATAACGCACAAAGGCATACCGTCTCGCTCGTTTAACTAAGCACTGTGAATTTGGTCCTAAATGATTCATTTTTATGAAATACGAGCAGCAAATTGTGTTACTCATACGCCATGCATCCCCCTGTTTAATCAAACNTTAATCGATTTCTTTTTTCATCCTGATCATTTATGTATACATTTGTCTATATCTATCTCGATCCGTTTTGGCTGTTACAAACAACCGTTATGTGAACAAAATTAATATACCCTTGTGCACAAGTGCGCTCGGGTATAAAAATAAGGTCAATTTACACGACGACTTTTCAAGCTGCGTTTTTTGCACATTCTCTTTTAAAAAAGTCTTCGAAAATCTTCGTGCATTTACACGGTGACCTTTTCTTTGCGGGGTTTCTTGCGTTTGTTTGAGATTTATGCGTCAACATTTCCTTGGTGAATTCTCTCATTTTTAGAGCGGTGCGGTGTGGTTTCGTATGCAGAAACTTTTTTTTTTTTGTAAACCGGTGTTATTACCAAAAATATCAGTACTCGAATGTATATGTAGTGCAATAGCAACCTAATCACATTTGAAATTGTACCTAATTGGCCTAACTTAAACCAAATGTAACTGACCTTACTACGCTTTTTTGCATACTTCCGCTTCTTTAACAAGTTTTCATAGAAAAGCACAGTGAAGTCTGGAACTCGACTACTATTCAGACAATGACGAAAATCATCTTTTGGGAGAAAAATTCTACGTTAAATACGGCAAATGTGAAATGAAAACCGGATATGAAAAATGTTTTGTATAGATGGTATGTAACTGTACTTAAACACAGGGTGATCGCGATCAAAAGAAAGATTCAGCAAATTGCAAAACACAAAAACTCTGTAAATATTTTTGAGCGTACTGTATTAAGAAAGACGAAGCATTGGTATCACCCTGCAGATACAGTTTAGCTAAGACACTTGTTCGCTTGCTATGCTTGCGACATCGCCAGTCAGAAGTTCGTATTTGCTCCCACGCCAAAGGCAGAGAACGTATATAAATACCAGGGGTGGGCCCAGGTAGGGGCTTAAGGGGAAATTTGCCCTCCCCCAAGACTGTGTAATATGTATTTTCATAATATTCAACTGAATATCGTGAAATATCATTACAAGAATATATAATAGGTTTGTTCCACAAGCTACTTGTAGAAAAACTCGAGCAAAGTTCAAACTGTGAGCGTATATTAAAGAAACTCGAAAACTTACTTGCGTATATCAAACTCGAAGTGACTTCGAGAAGCTCGGGGAACAAACCTAATGAACGGATGCTTTTGAAAATTTTAATTTATAGAAAAAGTGTGTCAAATTTCACTTGAGTTTGAAATTTTAGCTGTGTGCTAAGCTCGAAGTATTATGTTATTTGAGTAGTATTCGAATTCACTGAATTTTCAAAATTTTGAAATTATGTACTTAATTTTAAATTTTTACTTTTTTTGTTATATTTTCGAATTTGTATTATTTTACACAGTTGAGTCACAGCAAGTTTGAATATTTTCACAGGTTCAGAAAACAACGAAAATTAATATTATTAAATTTCTTGAGATTTCTTATTTTTAGGATAATTTCCAAAATTTCAAAAACTATATAAATCCGGCAGATTCTAGTAATTTTGGTAAAATGAGAATATTTTGAAATGTACAAAATTATTGAGATTTTAGAAATTTTAATATTTTCCAAAATTTTGAGAATTTTATTTATCCTTAAATGTAAAAATGTGAAACATCACAAATTGTCGAAAAATTCTTATGTTCATGGTACTTGTGTGTAAAAAATAGAAAATTCTTAGAATTCTAAAAGATATTAACATTTTTGAAAAATTCCAAAATTTTTCCACTTTTCGGAACTTTTCCAAAATTTTGTATTGATATAACAATGTTTGATAATTTTAAATTTTTGGAAAATTTTGAAAACATCAACTTCCAAAATTTTTTGAATCTTCAAGAATTAAGAAAATTTTTTAAACTTTAAAAAACGACGAAATATGAAAATATTTCCCACATTCGAAAACTTTTAATTTCGTGGAAAAAAGCTATGGCTGCAGAATCCTTCTGGCCAGGGGTGAAACGGAGGAAGCGGATTAACTTCTGGGTTTAACTAAGTTGTACCTGCCAACATTGCAGGGGTTCTTAAACGATTACTTTACGATGAGAATTCATGATTTAAGACTGATTATAAATTCAAATCATTTCAGTGTGTATAATCGTCCGATAGTGATGAAGGAGCGCCCTAATAAAGAAGGGAGACATTCCAAAATCAACCATATCACCGCGCGCGCGCGCGGGAGAACGTCTACCTTCACGTCAACGGACATGAACATTTTAACATTTACGTGATTTCCATACATACATATATATGTAATTAGACATATGCAATTCAATCATTTTTAATAAATAAACTTTTTATAACGTTTGTAATAAACGGGAGTGTAGCCCTTTTCCATACAACTAAAACGCGAAAGTTCTCGCTTCTCACGTTGCTATGGTCCTCCGCCGGATAAGCATCCCACCTGCTCAGAACCTCAGGATCCTACCTAAGTCAGAAGTTGGTATTTGCTCCCATGCCAAAGGGTGGTGCATCATTGGTTGGCAGATAAAAATATCCAGTGGCACTGCAATTTTGAAAAATTTACATTTACTGCAACATGTTTTGATTTGAACACAGGAAAAGCCTACCTCCGCGACACCTCTTCTCCCATATAAATCACCTCACTTTCATCCACCTTTCTTCGACAACCATTGACGTTCAACGTTTTGATGCCACTTAGAGTGCATGATGCTGCTGGAAAGCTCGCCGGCTGTCCAATAGATTCAGCATATAAGAACACTGCGCGATTATGACTACAGCTATCTGTAGGGTAGTAAAGATTTTAATATTCAGATATATGTAAACATATATACATGTTTATGAGTGTATATTTATATCAGGGAGGTTCTTAAAAATATGAACACTTAAATTGTGTAGGGGGCAGCTCTTTAGCTTATTTTACGTACAAAAAAAATATATATATAAAATTCCAAAATTTAAAAAAAAAAAAAAGGTGTTCAAAATTAAATTTTTTTATCGCAAAAACTCGAAATTGTGGTGACTTTGAGCATCTATTACTCAGCGAGTTCATGAATTTGTATGAATAAATTTCAATAATTTTCGAAATTGATCAAATTTGAGGTCAAAATTTTGTCGAATTTTTGCAACTTAAAAAATTTTTAATTTTTTCAAATCCAGCTAGCAACCATTAACTTTTCAAACTTTCAAATTTTCGTAAAGGTGCTTATTTTATACATAGAATAAAACAAAGGGATGCCATACGATGTTGATGCATATATTAAGGACCACCCTAATGCATACGTTTGTTTACTTACATTGTTCAAATAGTAATTGCTTTGCAATCAGTAGCACATCCATATCGGCACAACCTGGTTGTGGTGCAGTTCCGAAATTCGGATAGAAATCAACATTGCCACGTGGAGTGCCATCGCCAAATACCGGAAAGTCTGTATGTATTACATCGACGAACTGTGCCGCGGAGTGGTGTAAGCCATCGACGGAGAGCGGTGTAAACAGCGGCAAAGCGGGATCTAAACCGGTTACACGTCCCAAAGTGCCATTAAAGTAATCACCAAGATTGCCAGCGACATGTGCACCTAAACTATGGCCGATGACGTGCACGTCAGCGGGAGCGATCTCGTGTTTGCTAATGAATGAAGAAAATACAAAACGAACGTAATTTATATTAGTGAGGGTCTTGAAAAGATATGAAAAAATAAAAATAAGTAAAAAACTTGAAATTGCCGTTTGTGGACATGGCTTTTGACAATAATTAGTATTTACAACCGATGCAAATCTGTTATCGGAAATTGGTATCGATATTCAAGAAAGTATCGATTCATGGCGTATTGATATAATTCACTGCCTGTGAAATCGTTATGCCGGTGAAAAATATCGATATCGGAAAAAATCGATATAAAAAATATTTTATTACTGAAATTCCAAAAATAGTTAAAATTTATTAACTCGGCGTTGGCAAATTCAATCATGAACTCCAAGATTATAAATTCCGATCTCTTACAAGATATTAATCGATTAATCAACATTTTCGATAAATTTTGTCTTTAATATTAAAATAATATAATAGATTTTTTCAAATATATTGCTAGTATTATTCTAGTATTTTAGCATTTTATCACAAAGTCAGCATGCAATAACATTAATATCAGCAACTTTTGTATAAAGTTTCCGAAATTCACTTCTTACAGGAGCCATTTTGAACACGCGCGTCTAAGTTTCCGAATTTAAAAAGACAGTGATGCGACTTTAAGAAATGGCACGCTTTTTTTACTCACAAGCAGAGTTGCCATTTTGGTAAAACTTTGAAGAGATAAGAATCTAGGACGAATTTTGATATTAATAAAATGTTGTGAGTGGCAGCAATGTTTATATATAATAATTCAATTAATTTCGTAATAAATCGATTAATGACTCGATTAATTAAAACGAGAAATTCGATTCGATTCTGAAAAAAATTACTCGATTAATGCTAGTAATGATGATAATCCGACTAATTTTTTAAGGGTACCAAAATACAACTCGAGTTTAACTTAGTTTTTGAATTATATATTGATTTTTGTTATTTTTTATGTAAATATCGATCTCTTAGATATGTATATCGACCAGGGAAAATTTATTAAAAAATCTATTATCAGAGCATGAAATATCGATGGTAGGACTTATTTATTTATTTTATATCGCACATTCCTCCTTTTAGTTGAAAGCAACAATCGACTGGTGTGAACGGCCCTTCAACTAATCGCTTCTAATGAAGTTGGGGGCAGCCAAATTTTGATTCAACTAATCGCCTCATGTAAACAGCGTATTAGATTGTACTTACTCCATAAACTCCTTTAGTTGCTCTCCAAACTGTTTCGCAATTTGTACAATCGCCTTACGAGAGGTGGGATAATCCACACCAGCAGCATCGGACCAATCTGCGAGCAGAACGTTGTCCTTACCTTTAGCGAGATATGCTAAAAATGGAATTAGGAAAAGAACATATCGCTAGCTTAGAAAGAAAATTTGCTAAGTCCCATTTTAAAAATTTTACAGGGGAGGAAAAAATCTTCCTATAGCCATTTTCTTTAACTATTTCGCAAGACTTTGAATCAAACATTTTGCGCGTTTAAAGCAAAGCAAAACTCCATAAGAATCAGAAGGTTTCGATATTTATTAAAAGATGTCGTATTATTTTGGCCTTATCCGATTTGCGGTGCTTCTTTTGGACTTAGCAAATTTTCCTTTTATTGCTTATGAAGAGGAAATAATAAAACAAGTACCTTAATAATTTTCGAAACGACGCGTATTCAATTTCTCTAGCCTCCTATATCAAAATATGAGTTTTCATAAAAAGTGGACTTAGCAACTTTTCACTCTAAGCTAGCGATATATAAAATGTAATGCAACTAAATTTTTTCGAAACCCTATTAGGAAGAACCGAAACCCACAAGCGGTTTAAGAATTCGGGGACCCGTTACAATTTATATATATGAAAAATATTTTTGAGCCTCGAACTTTAAAGATGTTCGTTTTCAAAGGCATCACCCTAATAGTTGTAAGTAGCCCTAGCCTCGGGTTCGCCAAAAATCGCTTAGGCGGTTATAGCGTCAATCAGGAATAGCGTTTAGCCATAATATTCTGGTTAGTAGTTGTGAGCTCGTAGCTTCGAATCTACGGTCTTTGTTCTATGAAGTTCAAAACCATATTTCGTGAAAGAAATTCTCTACCTGAATAATTTTATAGCTAGGGGATTTCCTTAAGCGCGAAGAGTAGAAAACTCGGAACACTCAAACGTTTTCGAAACTGTTTATGGGAATGCACTTTTTTGTAGCCTCGCAAACAATCGGGAAATTCAGAAATTTGACAGTTCAGTCAGAGTTTCTTTGTATAAAACATTGTATCAGCTGAAGTAAGTATATAAACAAAACATTCAAAATGCCAAGTAAAACTGAAAAATGTTAATTGTATGAATTAAAATCTGGTTCTGACTGAAAATTACGAACTACTTTCCGATGACGTTTTCGCGACTGTTTGCCGCGAAAGCTTTCGAGGCATGCCAAAGCGCTATTCATACAATTTTTGACAGCTTTTCGAGGCTGAAAAAGTTTCGAGGTTTTCAAGCCATTTTCGAGTTTGAGAGGATCCCCTAAGTGATTTTTTCGTTTACTTTATTTACCATTCCTCAGCGGTGTAATGGAGAAGTGAGACCGACTACTAGTGAAACCATGTATAATGAGTTTTATATCAGTTTTCGTAGGCAACTGCTCCACCTCACTCAAGATCAGTTCGCCGATACTAGCAGAAGTTGCGCTAAAAAATTAGAAAGCACATTTGAAATCACTTTTCCTTATAACTTTAACTTCATATTTTTGTTTTCAAATACACACGGTTTCTGATAGTAAATATTGGCTTTTGATATCAAGTCATCTATGTTATGTACGAAAACCGCGGTAGCTTGGAAAGAATAAGCGCCTTGTAATATAAAGAATAAAATGAATATCACCGAGGTCATTTCGATCTTTCTCTTTCAAATACTTATACTTTATTAATTTTAATATTTTTTCTCCACTCTAAAATTACGCCAATAAATGTTCATTCGCACCACTACTATACCGATTTGTTACTAAGATTTCCAGCGTTTTTGCGAAGCTTCTTATATCTGCTTAGATGGGATTCAAGCGCTAATATAATTTGTTTAGTCGCATGTTTCACAGCATTTTTAATGTAAGTGTTTGAAATTTAGGAAAATTGCTCGTAATTTTCTGCTTAGCTCTGATAATATCGGAGGTAGTACTGATGCTTATGCTTACGTACATAGATAGATTGCTGAATGTGTGTGCAAGCAAATGCCAATGAAGAACAGTCAGCACTTGATAGAAAACATTGTTATGAACTTGAAATATTTTTCTTTTCTCAGTTTATAGATAAAAGGTAGATTCAGTAGTTGAGGGAATGCATACCGTCCTACGCTTGGAGGAAGGGGTCGTTGTTCTTGCAGTAAGCACTACCACCAAAAACTGCCATACAACGTCTCAGAAAACTGCAAAGATTTGCGTGTTTCACTGCATCGTGAAATTACTCAATTGTGGCTCTAGAATGCCTTCTAGGATGGATACCTCTTCATATTTTTATTCAAGCAACAGCAGCCGCGAGGGAACTTCAAATTCGACCCTCTAACAACCTTTTATAAAAATAACCTTCATGCAGGTATTCTGGGGAAATACCAGCGTAGTCCCAGATGGCGTATATTGGTTTAACGGGATGCCTGCGCTTTATACCATATACGTACACTTTGGCTGAAGTAAGCACTTTCTGCGGCCAAAAGCCCAGTTTAAAATTTTTGCTTTCAACATTTTTAACAGGGGGACTCTATTCTATCTAGATACTCTGATTAGAAAATAAATTATGAATTTATGACTACAATGTAGCTCTGGTCCAATATCCGTCAACTTAAATTTTGCGGTTTTGGTTTTACTTAGTTTGTGCTAGAATTTATTATAATGAACAGCCATGTAGCGCGGATGTGTAGCAGTTGGAAGTCGGTAATACGGCCAAAGGATAGAGCAGTCCCTGCTTGAAAGGTCGTATTTTTCTTTTTTCCAATAAAACATTTTCCTCCATTTTAGAAGGAATCGACGGGTGGTCTGGGATATCCGGTGGGTGTGGTTATGCGCCGATTTCGCTGATTTTCAAACCAACGTCATTTAAGATTCCCAGAATCATTTATAACGGGTGATTTTTTAAGAGCTTGATAACTTTTTTTTTAAAAAAAACGCATAAAATTTGCAAAATCTCATCGGTTCTTTATTTGAAACGTTAGATTGGTCCATGACATTTACTTTTTGAAGATAATTTCATTTAAATGTTGACCGCGGCTGCGTCTTAGGTGGTCCNTCAAAGCATACTGAGCATCTTTCTCTTTGACACCATGTCTGAAATCCCACGTGATCTGTCAAATACTAATGCATGAAAATCCTAACCTCAAAAAAATCACCCGTTACTAGATTTTAAGCGCTTATCAGCATTGGTTGATTTTTGACCATAGAAAGTACTTATTTCAGCCATAGTGCAGAGGTACAAAAATGATCCAAGGACGGAGGACAGGTGTTACCAAACTTGCAATTTCCATGGACAGATGGCCGACCGCGTTACAAACTGAAGTATTAGCAATATTAACCTGTGCCAATTAAAATTTGGAAAAGTTTTAAAGTGCGCCGTTCTAGTTATTTTTTTCAGATAGCCATCAGCTATCTCTAACCGGATATTAAAATCCACACTTGTTAAAGAATACTTTAGCATGCGTAAAATTTGACAGATAAAAATACGGCAACACTGTTATGGCTACCATGGCCCTGTTGGATCGAAAACAAGGAGACCACAGACGAGTTGGCACGAAAGGGATCTTTAACTGCATGAAACCATTCAGTGGTCTCAGTTGGCGTTCTTTGAGAGCCATAATAATTGAGTGGGTACCCTCTGCACGCAATAAGGGATATGTACCATAAGCACGCCAGGTTCTTTGGTCATCCTTTCATTAAGTAGAAATGCCATCAACGTATCTAATTGGTAACAACCGGCTACGATTTCACATGCACCGAATAGCTGTTACCGGAAAATAAGAATGCTGCCGACTCTGTCTTGAGAACGATGACCCTCAGGAACACATTCTTTTTGACTGTACGGCCTTGGCCAAACAAAAAATAACCCATTTTATAGCTCGAACCCTTTTTAATACAGAATTCAGCCACAGAAGCCTTTTTATGATTCATTTAGCAAGCCGAAGGTGGTTTGGGCAAACTGAGTTAAGGACTCTCTTTACAGATACCCCTGTCTCGTAACTAACTAACTAACGCGTGGGCCAGACGAGCTCCACCTAGTTGTATTTGTTGTCTAAGTATTTTTCAAGATGCGTTGGAAAATATTTATCGAAATTTAAATCTCATCGAAACAAGTCGACTTCATTTCAAAAGAAAACCTGACCTTAGATAAAAAAAAAATAATTTCATAGCGAGAATCTAGCATGCAAAGACTTAGTCCCTTCTCCTCTCTTCCGCGAGGCTTTGCGACAGTTGGCGAACTACTGCCATAATTGAACTTAACAAGCTGCGTGTCAGGAAAGCTTTAATGAGTTCTATTAAGTGTTTATAATTCTGTTCGTCTGGTACTACTTGCTACGGCATTTCCGTGTTCTGATGTTGAAACATTTTAATCGCACGAAGTGTGATCGCACACTCAGCTCACAGTCTGCGTAAAAACCTAACTCTTTATAGCCTGCTTCTTCTTTATAACCTGCTGTTAATCAGATAATTATAGGCAATAAAACTCTAGTCAAAATTACACTACCACTTTATGATTTCAAACAACATGGCATTACATAGTTTTATTTAAAATTTACACTTACAAAAATAAAAATTTACAAATAAAATCCATTTTAAATATATTTTGACACATTTGAGCAGGAGTACATATGTATGTATGTATGCCATACATATTCTTACATATACAGATAATAATTTAAATAGTTAACATTTAAGCCCGTTTCGAGTATATTTATTTTGTGACAATACGGCAACATTTAGCAACTTTTCGTTTGCTTTCAAACAAAGCAATGAATACAATGCCATTTTAATGGTAAATGTCAAAAATGCATGCACCCATTTAGTAGGTTAAGAAGCGCCTGAGTAGAGTACTTGAGACACTCAAAATAGTAAATTCACATTAAATTATTAGTAATAAAACACATTTCTTTCGACTATTTACGTTGCAGATCACCATCGCTGCTCGCCGGACGTATCATCATGCGCACAGCTTTTAGCGAGTAAGTGGGTCCACGGAACTCATTCCAATACATGCCCTCGTACAAAGGCGTGGCGTTGTAATTTTGGCTGAAATATTTGCCATTCAAGTTGCTGCAATAAGAAGCGAAATTTATTAATAAACTTACATTCAACTTTTCGCTTAATTGCATACTAAAGACATGTTTTTTTTTTTTAAGAAAGTACATACCTCATGTCACACCAGTTATACCACCAGGCACCGTTGCGCGACTGCGCACAATTGCAGTCAACACAGCCATCATTGTCGTTATCAAAAGTGGAGAATTTGCTGCCAGCATGATAGCTAAAAGAGTCGCCAGCGTCGCCCTCGTACTCTCCTATAAATGTAAGAAGATAAATAAAATAGAAAAATACTCAACAATTCAGCCAAAATTTTTCGTATCTCCAACTGTTCTCCTCCTCACCTAATAAATTAAGCGCATAGTCTTCCTTTTCGCTGCCAATAGCAAACAAATTATATCGCGCATAACGATTTGTGCCATCAAAGTCCTGCAGCAAAATTAGCAGCTCATGCACCGCTGAGGCGGTAAGCGCATGCAACTTATCCAGACCGATGAAAAATTCGCCACCCAAATTGCCAAAACCAGCCTGATACTCGAGCCAGCCGCGATAGAAGTTCAATTTGCCATTGAAACGATTTTGAATGATGGTCCAGCCGCCGCCAAGTGTTTCCTCATCGCAGCGCACATAGAAGGGTTCGGATTCGGGTGTGAGTTGAAGACGCAAAATGCCATTGGCTGTGGGTGCGTCTTGTGCACAGCTGGTAATGAGCGGCTCTGTTGAATGACTCGGCGCATAGAAGTTTGTCGGCTGGCGATTATTTTGACGCCGAATGCTGTTAAGGCGACGCGACACCATGCTAGATGTGAATGAGAGGAAGATTTATTAAAATTCATTAAAGAATTTACAAAAACCAACGAGTTTGAAATAGTTTATTTATTAACACAGCTTGCTACTCGAGTGCACGCTTAATAACTTCGACAATAAATTCATTCAGGAGTGAAGAGAATAAATACAAAATTCTTCATAGAGGCTTATTGATTTGCTAAAATCAAGATTAACAGCCTATACTCATATACACTCCCGGTCATGTAAATAGCACACCCTTTTGATACTTTCCTTTGCTTGTTTAATATTAATTATTTATTTTCTTACGAAATTTATAATAATTATGTAACGTTTCTCAAACCACGAATTTAAGAGGTCACCGTTGTCTCCCCCTCCGCTCTTTCTTTTATGTATGAATCTCCCGTACTATCTATGTATTAAAGGTATCATGGCATCTGTCCAAGTATCTACGTTGTATGTAATGATATGAGGTGTGGCCGAGTAATAAGAGGCACATGCAACAGCTCGATAGAAGGCAGTTGCGATGGCTGGTCTAACATTCCATAATTTGTTTATCTAATGTCAGGCCATTCTCGGCAGGCAATGGAAACCGTACGAGTATATTTCTGTCATGAAAATTCTTCGGAGAAAATATCGTTTACCGGTCGGATAGCACCAAGACTATTTATTACCACAGGGTGATGGAGAAACACGGACAAACATTTAGAAAAATTATGTAGAAGAGGTTGTGTCAATAAGTCCGCCACTTCTCAATTGAGGAGTCTTTTCTTTCGCCGGGGTACGAAACATGGAAGTATGCAGTACTAGGTTCAAACATAAAAAGATCCTTCAAGCTACGTGGTTATCTCCAAAAAACGAGAAACCAATCGAGCAGATGAAGTATTTTTCAGGTTTATTTCTCAGCGTTTTTATAACTTCTTTATTTTCTCTGAATAATATGATTTCCCAAGACCCGCAAAATGGTGTTAGTTTAAGCCAAGATTTGTTACAGCAAAATCTATTTTCACCAGGGAGAAATCTATGGTTCGATTCATAGAGCTTCATATTGGTAATAAAGTGGCATAATAACTTAGCCGGCAGGCCGACGTTGACCTTCTGAGTTGACGAATTACTCAGTGAGCGCCTGGTGGGTGTTGTGTCAGAATCATATATCGTTTACGTTTATGTAAAGACAAGGTGTTTTAAGTTGGCCTTGTGTAAAAATAAAAAATAAATTAAAAAAAATTTAGTAAGCTACTCTTTTGGAATTGAAATTGATGGAGAAGATTCCCCGTAGTATTTATGGGTCGATTATGGATAGCAACGCAACTTCAGTTAGCATGCCGATAGGCAACAACACTGGAATGAAAATTTATATTATAAATAGCAACTATAGTTAAGTGCTAAATAATTTGATGATAATAGAGTTTTAAAGTACAACACTTTAATAAAGTTTAACTTTAACAGTTGAAGAAAGAAAGAAATTTCCGCGGCAACCTTAAAAACGCATTACTTACTAAACAGACGAGACTCAGACGAATGCAAAACGTCTTAGAACTATCCACACACTTGTTTTTGTGATTTTTTTTTTCTTGAGTTAAAGAAAACGATAAGAATTTCAAATTTTTCAAATGTTTGCGCGCAACCTCAACACTGAATTCCTACCTACATAGGTATGTGTAGAAAATTTCAATTTTAATTCGAGGTGACAATTTAATAGGCGCATCACGATTACCACACAAAATATTCAATTGATTTGCATAAAATAACAAAAAAAAAAACAATAACATTGTTGCATGCAACATCGATGCGCTTTGATCAAAGCGCCGCAAAAAAGTGTCAACCAAACAAACAAGATGTTACTTTATTGTTATTTTTTGTCACTAAGAAGAAGCAGAAATAGTCATCAAGAGTGTCTCATATAAGCTGTGTGGCATTTAGGCTTTTATGATAAACTAATATAGTATTGAATATACATACATACAATAGTATTTAATTTTTACATTTTAGAATGTATTTTTTTTTGTTTGTATTTATGTAATTAAAATACCTACACTCACGTACTCACTTTGACAATCTGCTGATATTCGCTTCCAGATGATTATTCAATTCATTGACTGCCGAACGTGTCGATAGCAGCAAAGTTGCCAATGACTCAAGTTTGGCTTCATTTGTGGGCATCTGAGGCAAGCGATCATCAATTTGACGTGCTGTACGCAAGGCGACTTCTGTAAAACGCAAAAGTCGATGTTTAATTGTTTTATCACATACATACATACATAATCAATAAAAATGCAATAAGCCTTCGAGCAAGTACATCACATATTTTTCGCAAAGCAAACATAACTTATTGTTCACAAATTTATAAAAAATGCTGTTTCTGACCTTCCTTCTCATGGTTTAAGTCACCTTTCAATTCATCAATACTGCGTTTGTTTTGGCGTTCAATGAAATCGAGGGTGTCGAGCCGTTTCAGAAAGTCTGTCTGCTGCACAGCCAATGAGTCCAAACGACCCAAGTTACTCGATTCAAATTGGTTCATCCTGTAAGTAAATAGTAATTGAATTGCAATTGTAATTGATTTGCATTTAGTAGAACAAGTATTTAATTGAGAAGAATAATAAGATCTTTTAGAGTTATCTAATTAAGCATCTTAGATATTAGGGCGAGATAAATTGAACAAATCCAACATAAGTATCTACATTAGTATATATGTATATTAGGGCGGTCCAAAATAAGTAAAGTCGGAGTTTTAATGCTCTCACCCCCTAGAATTGTTCTATATTGTTATCGAAAAATATACCCTTAGTTTTTATTTTAAAATCAAAAAATACTTAGAGGTCGCTCAGAGCGCTCAAAGTTTTCCATTCAATGCATTTTATATGGAGAAAAAACAACTTTTCGTACAAATGGTATAGAATTCTTGAAAATCAATATTTTTCGATCGGAAAACTCTGGTTCTCTTCAGGAGACTTCCAATAACAATACCCAATTGTTTATTTGAACAGTTTTTAATACTAAAGATTTTTTATTTATCCCCTTCACCTCCCCCGCCCCCTTGTTTTTTCTGGCATTTTCTGGATTTTTTGGCGGACCTATAAAATATTGTTACTATGAAAAAATGGTTAAATAAATAATTGGGTAATATTAGCCGTGTTTTTCTACACGCATATACATCTACGCTGAACGTGTAAAAAAAAAACAATTATCTACAATTACCATTTGAAAACAAGTAATTAATTCGTTGACTATTTACTTCGCTGGAAATTTTCCCAAACATAATAAATGTTTACATACTGAGCCAGCTTAATATGTAGTTGATACGCTGTTACATATAATTCAAAGTTAACACATTTGCGTTTGAAGACGCATGATGCCTTAGCAGTAAGCAGTACATCGTTTTCAAAAGCTGCTGTAACTTTTGAAATCGATATATTACTTATAATCCAAAAAAGTTAATTAACCTTGTGCCAAAATCGATTTCAATTTGGTAAACGTAATCGATAAATGGAAATTTGCAAACATCAAATCTTTAACTACATGTAATCTTTTGCTTTGTCCAACTTTTCATCTGCCTTTCGGTTTTGTTTGCAAACAAAAACTCAATACGACATAACATCAATTTACGTACATACATAAATGCATAGGAATATGTATGTATGTATGTGCATATGTATATGTAAATATGCACCGACTAAATATTCTTCTAAAATTTACCAGTAGTTAAACGATTAAAAAGTGATTGGTAAGAATTGGAAAATGCCTTACATCAGAAGCGTGAGCTTTGACCAGCACTTATCGGAAGACACCAAGTAAATAATGCGCTCATCGGTTGGTAAGTTTTATTTTATTTTAACTAGTCCATATCCAGAAAGTATTGGAGTATCAACCCAAAATGAGCTATCCAACAACCAGCTGATAAGGGGACCCAAGGTTCTTTCCCAAAGCACGTCGATGTTAAAAAGAAGACAGTTTTACGCTTTATATGGTTGGCAGGACTAGTATTGGTAAGTTGTGAACTAGCCTAAAGTGAATGCGAATTACTGCATGGTGCATACATAAAAAGTAAATAAACATACATACATACATACATACATACATCTGGATGTGCATCTACTTAAATTTGAGTAAGTATAGAATCATGTTGGCATAATTTGTCAATCAGCCAACTTTTACGTACAACAACTACTCGAACTATATTTATTTATTGTGTGTAAATGCGTTTTATTTTGGTATTCAACTACAAACACTATTAAGACCATAATTACAGTGTTAATAGGATTATATGCATTAGGGTGGGTAAGATTTTGATGATTTTTAGAAATGCGAAAAATCTGTTGCTTTATTTACCTTCTTTTATTTAGGTAACGTACATAAGTATGGTGGTATGTATTCGAAACCACTATAAAAATATTCTCTAACCAACCGCATTTGGCATTAAATATAAGGTCCTTTAAATAATATATATCGCAGACTTGCAATAAAACGGAAACCTCGAAACAGTTAGGTACCTTACCTCTAAAAAGAGTTCACTCGGAGGCCACAAAGGTCCACTGCATTGCTCAATGATTTTCCCACGCCTATCCCTACATGTTTTTAAACCATCCTGTTTCTCGAGCGGATGCTAGAAGATCCTCCAAAGGAGTTTTCCCTAAGCTGTTTAGGCTCTCAAAAAAGTGGTTCCGTGGAAATTTTAGACGTTTTCTCTGGAGGTTGGGGGAGTTTCTCAAAAAGCATTTTATTGGCCTCCGAACCTGGCGGTCATGTTCCAATGGCCAAGTGTCCCGTTAGTATTACTGTTAGAAGCCTAACTTCTGAATTTTATAGCCTTATTAAACTCCCTGTTCTTCGAATGGTGGCTGCTTTGATCATCTTAACAACTTTTGAATATTGGAATCACAGGGTTTTACCATCTAGCCCGCTACCTCTAATACTATATCAGATCCCTTTCAAACCTCTGCTTCCTCGTTCCCCGGAATACCGCTATATCCCTAAGGGACCCAGTAAAGACTAATTATATATTTTTGAAGAGCCTGCAGGGATCTTTCGGCATACCTTGTCGAACATCGAGTTAGCAGTTGCCGACCCTAAGGCTTTAATAGCAGTTTGACTGTAAACAACGAAGGTTAAGATGGATCTAGGTCACAAGGTGTAAAGCAATTATGCATGAAATAAAAGTTTCCCCAGACAAAAATTACAACTTTTTTCATTTTTTTAATATTTTCCCACAGGCAAATGAAATGTAGCCATTTTAAAAGAGGTTAGAGATAATGAGGGCATATTAAAATTTATGTCGGTTTCCTCTTTTCAATGGAATGACCAAGTTATGAAATTTAAATCATTTAAAGCTACTACAGCATATTACTACTGTTAAAATATCATCAAATAACTTTTACTATTTTCGTTCATTCAAAATAGACACATCCTAATGCCCATGCTCATATTAGATGTGACGATTATAATCACCTACGTGTGCCGCGATGATATATGTACATATGTAGTAGGTTGGCGCTCTTACATAAAAAAACTGTTGGCAGACGTCAAAAGTATTTACTTTCAAAACTTCTTGTACAAAGTAGGTACTTAATTATGTAAGGTGTGCGCCAGCTACCATATTAATTGCATTAAACAAAAACTAACTTCATGTAGGCATCAACACATGTAAGTATGTATGTATGTCCCCGGCTTTTGTTGGCACATACTTGATGTGTGCGTGTATGTAAGTATGTTTAATTCTTTTTTATTGACAAGTTGAAGGTTGAGATATGAATCGCTTTGCTTTTTGAATTACAAATTCGAAATTGTAATAAGACACATTCAGCAAAAATAATAAGTAGACAGTTAATAAAATTAACCTTTGTGGCTACGACTCTTGCAAAAATAACAACGACTAATCTCTAAGGAGAGTAGACGCGTAGTAGTCTTCATGTGTTAAAATTGGGCATAAATTAGTCGCAAAAAATCTCCTACGGACTACGTATTTACTACTAAGATCAAAAAAAGGCAAGAAAACGTTTTTATAATAGCGGTCGCCCCTCGGCAGGCGATGGCAAATCTCCGATTGTATTTTTGCCATGAAAAATGGCTTATCATAAAAATACAATCACCGCTCAGAGTCGGCGTAAAACTGCAGGTCCCTCCCCTTTGTGTGACAACACCAAGGCGTACGCCCGAAATCAGTGGAGAAGCTCGGATTTTATGCTAAATTCAATTCCAGGCTCAGGAACCCCATTATCTATCATCCTTAAGTCTTTACTTGCGAGAAAAGTTTATTTATTAAATTGTAACAATTAATTTAACTAATTAATTCGCAGGAAGCAAATATGTATGTATGCATTGGTGTTAAACAAAAGTTCGGCATTCCTTTTAATTAACACTTTTCAACTGAAGGCATTCATTCTTCTTCTTTTTCTTTAGCTGATCTCTGAAGTTGTTGTTGCTGTTTATTATTATTATGATTTTTTGTTAAACCTGAACGTACCGAAACTTGTTAGATACCACTGATGACCTCTCTTTTGGCTAACAAAGAAGCGCAAAATAAAAATAAAGAAAAAACTGCTGATCCAACTGGTGCCCAGAAAATCAATGTGAAATAAAAACTACAAATACAAAGTCAATAGGCAGTAATCGGCTTTGATAAAAGTTGTTAACTTATTCGAATGTCTAAGAACCAGTTTTTGGTTAATTTCTTTCAAAACCGGCATAAATGAAATACTAAAAAAGTTAGTACAGTATAATTTTTACCGAAGATATTTTCAAAAACTAAATCGAATATGATAGAAAAAATGGAAGTGAAATAAAATAAAACAAAATAAAATAAAATAAATTTAAATTAAATTAAATTAAATCAAATTAAATTGAATAAATAAAATGAATTAAAATAAAATAAAATAAAATAAAATAAAATAAAATAAAATAAAATAAAATAAAATAAAATAAAATAAAATAAAATAAAATAAAATAAAATAAAATATAATAAAATAAAATAAAATAAAATAAAATAATATAAAATAAAAATAAAATAAAAATAAAATAAAATGAAACAAAATAAAATAAAATAGGAGAGAATTAAGCCTCAGCTTTCTTCCTGAACATATATAGATTACTAATTTTAATACATTTACATATATTCGTAGTTCCTAGACATCATGCTACAATATTCACTTACTTATTTTCAATATTCTCTAAGCGTCTGCGCAAATCCTCGTCCAGCGTTGCTAAGACGCTCACGCGATCATGCAGTGTAGTTAAAAGATCCTTACAGCTTTTGCTCAATCCATCGGAGGACGGCGCCGCTACTGATGTACAAAAATGCTACAATGCCAAAGGCAGCATTGAATGTGAAGGGCGAAAAAAAGGGTGATGTACCAGGTTGTATTAATTAATTGCAGAAAATTATTTAATTGCTTATTTTTTAATAAGTGTAAGTTTAGTTAGAGGGTTTATATTTATCGATTATTAGTAATAACTTAGTTTCAAGAGTTATTTCTCTTCACAAATATTTTGAGCATTCAATTCGAAATCTAAAAATATAAAACTCGAACGAAACCTTGTAGAAAATGTTGCATCGAATCTGCAATGAAAGTAACAATGTATTCGCTGACATTTCGGCCTTCTTATCTCCCTTGCGAAATTGCCAAATTGCGGACGTAATTACAATAAATCAGGTAAATAAGTAAATGCATATGTTCGTACGTGTGGGATGGGTAGAAAAAAGAAAATTTAAATGAAAGTATGCCAAACTCGACAGCCTACATTCATACATATATATGCATCTTCTTCAAGCATCTCTTATAAACAAAAAAAATTTACTTTTTTGCTACACACTCCTACTGCCACTATGCATAGGTATTTATTTAACGCGAGGCAATTTCTACAAGATGTGTACATACGTAAGTACGTTAAGGTATCCCAACAGTAGCAAGAAACGGGATTTTTCCAACTGTACTAGCAATGGATTTTTCTGCTCAAGGCATTCGGACACACTACAACAAAAAAGCAATCGCCATGACCAAACGCCAATGCCAATGGCAGATCAATTTAGCGGCATTAAAAGTTGTTGGACAAGAATTCATTGTAAATTAATTCATATTTTTATTTAAATTTAGGGCATGCCATATATAAATATGTGGGTTTACGTAAAGTTTTTAATACATATTTATATACATATACATATATGTCACTACCTAAATTTTTTTGCAGAAACGTTGTATGTTTACCGACATCACGGCGATACATATTTGGTAATACGAAGGCAGAAGTCAAAGGCCTTACATCACATATTAGTCCATTTACCTAATACGACGGGCTTACAGTGAAAAAATGCATAATTAATTTTTACAAACTTTACAGGAGAAAAAAAAATCTCTTCAAGAAGTATTTTGCCAAACATTGAATAAGCAGGGACCGAAAATAACAATTAAATACGAGAATTAAAATTTTTATTTTTGGGACATAGATAATACGATATTTTTGTCAAAAATAATCGTTAAATCCAAATTTTTATTTCTTTCGGTCAAATTTAATCTTTATATTGTTATTTTTTCGATAATTTTTAACCAATATTATGGAGACTAAACTTTTACGAAAGTTTTTTAAAAATAAGCATCAAAAATTGTTCGAGAAAATAAAACTCTAAAAATAACATATTAATGATCAAAAATTTAAAAACCATAAACTAACAGTTAAGTTTATTTTATTTTTAAACCTTGCTACTCCGGAAGCTTAAAATTGAATTCAAACCCAAATTACTTTAAACTTTATAAAAAATGAATGAATCGCTTGACTATTTATTTGATACAGAATTTTTCGATCAATTCTGTCAAGGCATACATTGAAATACATATATGTATATATACGAATAAGTGAATATAAAAACTGAAAATTTTGAGAAAAAATGTGTATTCTTTTGAGTCTAAATTTTTGTTTGTTTCTTCAAATAAGTTAAGTATTATTGCCATTTATCAAAATTGTTTTATTTTAAAGTTATATTTAAAAAATTGAAAAAACTCATTCAAGTAACAACTTAAAATCTTAAAAATTTTAGCATTTAAGAGATTCTAAGGAAAAAAATCAAAATAATTTGTTTTCTCCTAAGAAACGAAAAAATATCAAACGAAATTTTTATGGTAAGTAGAACGTAGGGACACCTACATATACCCCTGTAAATTAAAAATAAAAAGGGTGACCATTTTTTTTTTTCATAAAATCATATTATTGTTATAGTTTATCAAAGTTTTTCACTTTTGGGGACAAATAACCTCAGGAGCAACTAAATAGCTTAAAAATTACCGAAACTACAAGGTTTACAAAAACAAAAATGTCCACAAAACTATTATTTTTGACAAAATCTTAAAAAATTCGTAAAAAATGCAAAAGTAATGCCATGAAATTAAAAACAAAAATACGTGTTCATTTATTTTTCAAGCAGAGAAGCAGGCCTTTATCGAGCTCTCCATGCCTCTTTTGAATTTGGAAAATTTTCCATTCATTGAATGTCAACGATGCATCTTTGATTTCTCTTGCGTTCTATATCAAAATATGAGTTTTCACAAAAGCGGACTTTCCAACTTTTCACTCCAAACTACTACGTTTTGGCCTACATAAGTATGAGGATATTTTATATAATTTTTTATTTAAGCTCAAAAAGGACCACATTTTTATATTTTCGGTTTATTTTTTCATGAGCGCCGATCTTTCCTTTTCCTGAGTTTCTAGAATCAATTTTTTTAACTTCAATTCTCGTAGTTACTAGTTCGATCTGTCATCAATATTCTTTAGTGATTGATACAAATTTTACTTTAAATAATCTTAGCTTTTTCCAGAAGATTTCGGGATGATCTCAGCTATTAGTTAGCTTTATGAAATGGATTGAATGATCGTAATAATTTAAAAGATTATGTCTGAAAAAAGCGCCAAAAGATACGTATGTATGCATTTACTTTAACACAGAGATGTATTTATGTATGTAGGTTACCCTCCTAAGTAACTGTGAGTAGATATGAGCCTTTTATTTCTAAAGTGGCTCTTGTGCTAAAACTACCGGCTGCTTGTAACCGAATGCATCTGCAAATTGTTCTATCTAACTAATGGCAAAACCTTCTACCATTTGTTGATGTAGTTGATACCAGTAACCGATCATTTAAGCAAAAGAGCTGGGAAATGACTTATGCCACTTTCAAAATAAACGGCTCTTATGAGTGTATTAAAAATGAAAAAGTACTCGTCATCTCGTTTTTGGGAACCTTTTTCGCTGTTAATTTGCCTTTGCAACTCAGCCTGAACAAGTGCAATGAACTCCAGCAGAGCGCATCTTCACATGAGATTTATTAACATTCCATTTACATACAAATGTGTACATATATTTACTGTTGCATACATATTTATTTTGTCACAAATGAGCCCACTTTCACTAGAGCATTTTTAGCAGATTATTGGTATTTTTTACTACGGGCTTGGAATCTATATTTTTTGGATTTTTGTTTGGGATTTCGTGTCTCTTGTAGAAATGGTCGACTAAATTACAAAAAGCTGCGTGCCTTTGTGCTGCATACCACCTATGCTTCGGGTACTGCAAAGTCAATCAACCAGAGTCTGTTATAGGATAATTTCCTAGTTGTAGCTGAGATTTCCACGGATGGGACAAAAGAACCTTACGATTACGCTGTCTAAATTTTCCGTCGCTCGTGCTTTTATATGGCGAAAAAGCATAGAAGATGTTGAAAAAAAGATGAGAAAGCTTTGTGGGCTTTCGAGAGACCTATTCTAAGCAAGATCTAGGGCCCCAATCGTGTGGGCCACGAGTAGCAAAGAAGATGGAATGACGAACTGTACGAGTTTTTTAACGTCACGGACATAGTGAAGCGCATAGAAACAAAACGATTGCCAGACGCTCCAATGAAGAAGGGCGAGCACGAACACAATGGAAGAAGCAATTGCAGCAGAACCTGCCTTTACTCGAGATGTACCTCTGGCGCATCGCCGCGAAGGGTAGAGGAAATTGGAACTAACGAACGGCTGTAGCGCCAAATAAGAAAAAGAAGGATTCAGGCCACATCAGGGCTCCAAGTTCGGACCAATCCAGAATGAAAAATGTGACGCGAGGAAAGTACTGAAACTCTTAAAGCACACAAGAACATCTTTTATGCAAATATTTCATTTTTAGGCTCTGCTTTCCTCTCCTAACAGAAGTAAATTTGAAGACGAAAGGACTACATAATAGAATGCTAAACCTCGCTAACAAGTGCATTGTGGCCACAGGTTTTCGCGTAGGCCTAAATTTAGGAGCATCTATTGGTTAAGTGAGACCTCAGGCAACAGCTTGTCCCGTCAGCAAATTAACTGTTGCATAGCAACCATATCAGCAGTTCGGGCCCGTTTTGATGTAGAAATGCGTCTAGATACGCTAGGAACGTTTCTGCTTCAAAAGGAAAATTGTGAAAAAAATTTCGCTCACATCGTTTGGCGGTTAGAGCTCGATTTATTGTTTCAAGTAATTAAATTCTAACAAGCGCCGCGTGGCTAGAGGTAAATGTATCAATCGGTAGGATACAGGTTTAATTTCTGGCCCGACCGACATAAAAAACAGTTTTTTTTGTAATTGCGGGAGGCAATGACCAAGGTCCGGATGTAAATATTTCTACAAAGCAAAATTTGTGTTGTGAAATTAATTGCTTCGATTTTAACTTGTTATGAAAAATTTTTTAACGCGCATATTTAAATTATGCTTTTATTAATTATTATTTAATTATTGTGATTTGACATTTATTATAATATTTAACTTTATTTTTCATTTATTCTTTTCGCACCCACCCGATGGCTCCAGTTGGTTACATTTGTGCGCGTTGGATGCGTTTGAAAACTTTGTGGCGGCAATTGTTGGCCCCAAGCGCATTCGCTCAGCTGTATGGCCAGCAAAGCGGCTAAGAAGATGCTGGTGAAATGCATTTCGTTTTGATTTTGTTTTTAACTTGGCGAGGTAAGTGTGACCCAGAATAACTGGTGTGTAGTTGGTGGTTGGTTTACTTTAGACCAACCCGAAAATTCTGCGGCTTAGTTAAAATCACTTTTTCAACATTTCCACTTATGTATGCAAGTTAATATGCAAATTTTTAAAACAAGATTTCTTAACAAAACACCAACATTAAGGCTTGGATTTTAATGATGTTTATAATACAATGATTTCTTCTTCACCACACGCGTGCGTCATAAATAAAAAAAGTGAAAAAAAAATTCTCTGAACGCGTTTTTCAACCGTCTTGGGATTTCTATTAACGTATTTCAATTTCCATCCGCTGATCGTGTGCGCGCCGGGCGACTTGCGCGTCTATACTGGTCGCCTCGCCGTCTCTTTGATCGATAACTGGTTGGAGCCAACTAATCTCCCGCTTGCTTGGCGCTTTGGGTCTTGGCGGCTCTCTCGCTCGCAATTTTCGTTGATTTTAACAATTATTTGTTTTAATTGTTTTTTTTTTTTTTTTTGCTTTGCAAAATAATTTGGTTTGTTATCTCTTTCGCTTGCGGAAACTCACGTCGAAACGGCAAATACTTGAGCGATTGTGCTGAGGCCCTGATATATTGTTGCTGCTAAATGTTGAGCGTAATCGCCATAAGAATTTTGCCTTGCTTTTAGCATGAAATGTTCCTGTGAAACTACATACTTAAGTGTCTACAACAGTTTTCTTTGTTTAGATACATTGCAGTTGCTAAACCTTGCACAAATGTTTATAAATAATTTTTGCGTCATTTAGATGTTAAAGCTTTCAACTACGAGACATGCATATGTAGATATTTTTCCAATTAGTGTTTTCTTGTGTAGATGTATGTGTATGTACGTGCTAAACTCTGTCATTTACACACACCTTTGGGTCAATGACCTGTGAATTCTAACAAAGCAAAAAATTAAAATACACTCGTATTTCAAAAACGACTTTTTGGATTTGTGTTAAATTTAATATGATCGTGTTTACAACCCGTAAAATACACGATTATGTCACCGAGTAGGAATATAGACGCCCTAATGACCTAAACTTTTAGGGGCTACTTATCGCAAACCGTCTTCCGTCGCATGTACAGCAGGAAACAGGCACTTCAGCTGGAAATAGGCTATAACTAGAGTATTTTCTTTGGCTAGTGCTAGCCTAATGATAGTCGGATGGGGAGAAGAAAATTCTGTGGAATCATAAGCGGATATCAGAGGGCAATCGGGGTGGTTGTTACCGCTTTTCGGATTATCTTCTAAGCTGCTTCACTTTCCCGTAGATTATCCCATATCCAGGAAACGTGGGTACAAGACGAATTAGTATTATAGCAGAGTGCTTGCTACCCTATTACCAGGTGCTCGAGGGTACAACCAGAAATAATTTCCGACACGTCCGGAGCCCCAAAATACTCCTTGGTAACAAAAACCCAGCGCTTTTAATAGCAATTTTCCCGAGACACTGAACCAAAGTAACCCTAGCGTGCTCGTTTGGAGCCAATGAAAGCCATATACAGCAGGGTAGTGAATGTGTCAACCAGCGTTTCACTCTACTTCATCCCGTCGGCAAACCTCTTGTAGGCGTGAAGCTTGAATTCCAGAGTGTGTTCCTCGAGCTGCATGGCTTCAAGTCGTTTACTCCAATGCCCAAGCCACGTCTCGATGTGTCACTTGGCGCTGTGACCGCCTAAGCGATTTTGGCCGAGTCCAACAGAGCACGCCAGTCATTTGACCTCTGTGTCAATTGGTAATTCCAAGTGAAACCAAGTCCTTCTGGTCCTGGGCCAGCAGCGCGACCCTCAATGACGTCAGATGTCAAGATGCTCCAAGATTGTCTAACAGCAGTCGCACTGGTGCGATGGAAGCTCTGAAGCTAGCAGGCATGTCATAAAACAACTAATTTTGAACGCCCAACACTATTCAGAGATGCCAGGGAGAAATGGTCGCGACGAGTCAAATGAATTGGCGCCAGTGTTTTTGTTTAAAGTTCAGCCTAGCTTCTACTCCAATTTGTCGTGTGTATTTTGAGGTCCGAATTGCACTCGGAAGTTTGTTATTGCCCTGAGGTGCGACCAGAAATATAACCTGAGTCCTACCGATTGGCCGTACGCACCTCAAACTATTCTGTTACGGAAGCCGTGCCAGTGCAGTTAGATGTTAAACAAAATGCATTGCTTTCTAATTACTACTACGTAATATCTACTTGAAATTCGTTCTTAATCCGCTTATAAATCTCTTCTAATATAAATTTTTCACTCATAATAGTGTTAATTATTTTTTTCTTTCTTTTTTTTCGATATTCACTGCCATTTATGCTATAATTTACATTTTTCGATTTTCGCAACAATGTAGTACATAAATTTCTACTGAAGCTATGTAATTTTTTAATTGTTATTATTTACGCCGTTTAATTCGCTGTGGCTGCGCCAGATTATCAATTCAATACTTTCATTCATTTGCGGTTGTGGCGGCTAAAGCTAATATCATTCATTATAGCGCTTTGTTATTATTTTTGCAATTGTGACGTGGCAAGTGCATATACATATATCAACTTAAAATAAATACAAATGTACATATGTGTGTGCATCTAACCCAATTAATTATTTTTGTCGGCATCTCTGCGGGTATCTACATACATAAATAGATGTTTAATCAGCGCGTGCCTCTAATTTGTAAATAAATAGCGAAAAACGTATGTACATACATACATACATATGTATGTATGTATATTAACATGTAAGTATATGGAAATGTGCTTAACTAGTTAGATATGCACAGTTTTAGCAAGCGTCATCACTATACCATATACATATATGTATAACAAAATTAATAGCATTAGTTTACTATTTAAAGCGATTGCGAATTATGCAAATCAATTTTCAATTGTGTAATTGTATACTACGAGTAAATAAGTGTAACATTTCTTACTTACGCTATCCAAATGTGTGCTCTTCCAGCAAAGCTACATAGAATATTATTGGTGAGACAAATGATTATTGAACCTTTCTTCTCATCAGATCTTTAAATTAATATTTTTTTTTGAAGGAGTAACTGAAATATTTAAATATCAAAATTTGTTCCCTAAATGCAAATAATTTGCAATCTGTAAAATTTGCTTACCTGTTTTTTACAAATACTACAATTGTGATATAAAAAAGAAGAATGCACATAAAGTTCAGTAATACCGACAAATATTATCAAAAGCAATACCAAAAGCAATTACTGGACTTACAATATATGTATGTACATATATAAGAGTATGTATCATCAATAACTTACAACACTAGAGTCATAAAATGTATCCACAGTTTCCAAAATCTTAATGCGCCTTTTGTCTGAGTAACCTACCGACATCAACATACTTAAATACCCCTTACGTGCATCCAAACTTTTTAGGTATGCTGACTTATATGTACGAATTGTAAACATTACTACATAAATACTTATGCATATAGATATGTATAAAGAAAAAAGAAAATTCAATGAAGAGAAAATTGCTGCAGTGATTTACGTTTGAAAATTAAAATTGAATGAAAAAACGTAATAAACGACCGAAAAATTAAAATGCTTCGACTTGCTGTCTAAGGAGATCTTAGTACATATTTATGAAGGTATATGAGGGACGATAGCTTTGAATAGATACATACATACATATTTATATAAACTCACATATGTACATAAATCGAATTCTCGCTTGGTTACGCTAAACTTTATTTCATTCTTATTTGCGTACCCTCAAGACTTGCTTTAAACTGCTGAAAGAAAATTTTGAACGCTGAGGCGCAATATTTCTTCTGGTTCGATTACTACACCTAAATTACCATTACTTATGTTCGATAAATATTTGTTATAGACCAACTAGTCGATGATTGTAAAAAAGCAACGCTAATGGAAGCCAGGAAGTTTCTTAATGCCCGAAGTAACAGCCTGAGATAGAACTGAAGCAAATATTTTACATAGTGCAAGAAAAAAAATATTGTACCCCTATAGCTTAAAAAGGCTAGAAATACATGCTTACATATATAAGCAAGTTGACATCAAATACAATATATCTGTGAAGTTTCAAGAGTTTACCACGAAATTAAAAAAACGGCAGCATGCAGAATATCTGTCACAGCTATTTTGAAATTTTTGAAATTTTACGATTTTTTTTTTAATATCAATAATTTAGGATACTTCAAAATGTTAAAATTAAACGGTGAAAATGTTCTTCTTGCCAAAGCGAATTAAGTTAGTGTAGTAAAACGAGTGTGCCACCAAATGAAAAAAATTACATTGAGTAGAAAATTACCATGATTTGAAAAAAAAAAAATCCATTTTTACAAGTTTTATTGGCAAAATTTTTATATACATACCTGGAGAAAGTAATGTATATGTTCATAAGGAATACTATGTGAAAATCTTCCACGCCAATATTTAATTAATTTTAAATGATATGACTTTTAACTTTAACGTGTTAGATGACTGCGAATGGTGCTACGCGGCGTATACGTTACATACGCATCTACGGGTATATGTATGTATGAGCATGAGTGGTTATTTTTACCTTTTTACTTCGGCGGCTATTGCTTGTGACCACAGACCGAGTTCACCAAAGGTAAAAGGCTTCTTTTGTTGCAAATGAAATTTTTGAAATGATATTAACTAGGTCAATATCATTAAAAATACTAATAATTTAATTAGAAATTGCTATATATTTGTAATACATACATATGTTCTTTAATATATAAAATCAGCATACAAGGTTTTGTATTAATTTTCATTTTCATTGTTAATGTAAGTAACTAACAGAGTATTGTACTTTTCTGCAAAGGCTAAACTGTGTTTACGATTTCTCGTAAAACATAAAAATTAATTAAAATCATAGATACGGGCTTAAAAACGACACACATAAAATATAAGTATGTGTATTCAAAATAAATGTGTTATGAGTAATTAAGCTTCTTATTGCTTCAATATTTCATTACCGGTGAACATTGGAGAACAATTAAAAATCTTCGCCAGAAATGCAAGTAGCAGAAAAATGAAATCATTAACAATAAATAGCTTATTTTTATTATTTAATCGTCACCACAAAAAGTCGTTCGCTACTATAATTAAAAATGAAGCAAATTGTTTTTTAGTTGTTCAACTAGTACTCTTTAGATGCCATTCTAGACAGACTTATGCAAAAAGCTTGCTGGTAGGGAATAAAACATTAGATACTTTTGCTTTCGGTGCTTGCTTATATATGCATATATAGTAAATATTTATGTACGTAAATCTTTATTTGCAAAGTTTTGCTAACATATGCATTTTTATTGAAAACGGCTTGATGAGATATTTCAATAATAATTGTTATACAATTATTTTGATTATTTTTGAACTCCCTTCA